CTGAATTGGTAGAATGTACAAGTGGTACAATTAAAACTCAACTAGGTGAATTTTCAGAAGCTTTTAATCTCCCTTGGCCAAAAGCTCTCCCTAGAGTGCTCGCAACCTGAGATCCACTCCTTCTGGTAAAATATGGCTTTTCTCCTCATAAAATCACTAGTCACTCTGTGCACCTGGATGAAGGGACTTATGAACCAACCTTATTAAAGGACACATTCTGCATTATTATCAAGGACTTATTAACCAGCTTAAAGAAATTGATAAATTAGTAACTGATTCATTTCACAGTGTGCTCCCGGGAGACGAAGATTGCAAAGACTATGACTTACAACCAGATTTTGTCCATTGGAAAAAACATCAATTAAAGACTCTCTGCAACCTCATTGAAAGGAACCTTATCAGCGGACATCAAAGGCTCTTCAAGAACAAGAACAAGAATGTGAAGCTGCCGACATCAAAGGCAAACAACTATCCCAAGCATCCACAAGACCATCTGCTCACAAATTGATGCTGAACTTAAAAAACAAAATTTGTTTGAGTGTCTTTACCTGTCATAATAATAGCTATACTTGTTCTTTGGGCTTTTCTCAAACCCTGTTCTTACATAGCCCAAGCGTTAGTAATTGCTGAAAGTGTATAACTTTTGTATTATCAATAATACTGTTTGTATGGTTTCTCATTTGAAATTTAAAAGGAATGTTGTTGAAGAGAGAAGGAAAGGGATAAATGTATATTTTTGAGAGAAGTTAAAAGAAAGTAGTTTGTCCTAATACGTTGGTTATTTCTGAATGAGTAAAAAGACTCAAGCTGAGGATGCGAGAAGTTGCAGAGGGTTAAAGGAAAATAATACTGAAAAAGGAATTTTATGCAAAAATGTTAGAACCCAATTATGGGAACATGCTTACCCCCTTACTCAACAAGGATTACTAACTATATTCATTGAGATGGAAGCTGAAGTGGTTATAAAAACATGGCCCTCTATAATGGCTGCTGAGGCCCAGGAAATTTACTTATGAAACTCTTACTATCCTCCTGGCCTCTGGAAATTTTTAGATGGTAATTGTAATTTACACTATTGTGTTTTTACAGCTTTGGCCTGATTAAACTTTAAAGTTACAGTTCCCAATTGCACAACTAGCAGAAATCAAATTAGTAATGAATAACACTTCAGTGCTTCCAATAGGAAGCAGGTAGGCCACATTAAAATAATAATAATAAATAATAATAATAATAATAATAATAATACCACCAGTGAATGAGAACCCATCTCACGGTCAGATTGTGAAAACTGAAGAAGTGTATGGTGTGCCCTCAAACTGCAAGTAAACCCTATACTAGATGCAAAATCCAGAGAAGTGAGACAGACAGCAGAACTTGGATCATAATAGCTTGTAGATTAGAAATGATCCTGTGTTATATTTTGTTTTCTTTTTTTTTTTATCCTTGCTTGAGGATAAAGTCATTGATTTGAGAGAGAGAGAGAAACATCAATATGAGAGAGAAACATTGATCAGCTGCCTCCCATATGCGCGTGGACCGGGGACTGAACCCACAGCCTAAGTATATGCTCTGACCAGGAATTGAACCCATGACTTTCAATGGATGGGATGATATGCCACCCAACCCAGCCACACCAGCTAGGGAGAGTGTTTTCTTTTCTTTTTTTTTTTTTTCCAAAATATTTTGTATACTCATTTCTAGAGAGAAGAGAGGGGAGGGAGAAAGAGAAGGAGAGAAACAGATCAGTTGTCTCTCGCACACCCCCCACCAAGGGACCAACACTCCACCCTCTGAGCCACACCAACTGCGACAAGTTGCTTTTTCCCCCCCCTTAAGGAAAGTCCATATGACCTGACTGCCTCCCATTTACCTGCTGTCAACCTAAGAAACATTCAAACCTTTAAAAAATTTTTGGTAAGTTTATTTGAGCCAAACTGACTACAACTCTGGGAAGCCATACCTCAAGGGACTGAGAAATGCTCGGGAGAATGGCAGTTTAGCACCTATCTTATACATTAGAATCAAAGGAGGAGCCATAAGGGGGTTACATGAAGTCCACTGGTGATAGATTAGAGGAGGCAAGAGAAAGCAAAGCAGGGAAGCCTCTGGGACTGGATAAAGGGTAGAATGATAGACACATACTTCGTTTACATAGGTGGGTACAGGATAGTTACCAATCAACAATTAATACAACAATAGCAATGAGGGGATTTGTGGTCTCAGCTTGTGCTCCAGGGGTTTGGAAAAAAAGGGAAATGACCTCACATTCCAAAGGTTTGTTATCATAGATGCAAAAGGACAGTAGACAGGCTTAGTTAAGGTAAAGATTGGCCTTTGTTAGGGAAAAATACTGACCTAGGACACGACTACCAGCCAAGAAAATCTTTCAGTTAATTCAGTTAATAGCTTTTAATTTTAGACCATCCTTTGTGGTTATTTTAGGTCTCTGAGTTTGTAAGCCTGCCTCACAGGCCTTCTCTGAGCTTGTCAGGTTAATATGTGGCCCCTTTCTCCCGCTCTGCCTTTCCCTGTGGAGAAAAATTCAGTCTTGACTTCCGTCCAAGGTCATTGGGGGGTCCTGCCTTACCCACAATGGTTCGCCATTTCAGCAAGACAAATGCTGACACTAAGACTTCTAAGGGACTGTGGGACCACATTATCCAATGAAGAGGTTGGTCATCACTGCATCTTTTTGTTGTTGCTGTTGTTAAAGATTTTATTTATTTATTTTTAGAGAGGAGGAAGGGAGGGAGAAAAAAAGGGAGAGAAACATCAACAAGTGGCTGCCTCTCACACGCCCCCTACAGGGGACCTGGCCTGCAGCCCAGGCATGTGCCCTACACTGGGAATCGAACCGGCGACCCTTTGATTCACTGGCTGGTGTTCAATCCACTGAGCAACACTAGCCAGGGCCATTAATGCATCTTTGGATTGATTTATGGCCAAAAGGGGACATGTGGACAAAAAAGGGCCACATACTAAACCTGATAAGCTCAAGGGCAGCCCTCATGGCAGGACTTAGATTCTCAGGCCAAAAGTAACCACACAGGATGGTCTGAACATAAAAATTCCTAACTAAAAGAGCGTCAGGGCAGGTAGTCTCGTCCTAGGCCTGTAGCTTCCTTGACAAAGGTTAATCTTTACCTTGTGAGCTTGTCTATTGTCTCCTTCGCATCTAGATAACATTCCTTTGAAATGTCAGAGTGATGTTCGAACCCCTCAGGGTACACCGACCACCAAAACTGGAGACCACAGAACCCCTCAGAACAAGATGGTCTCGTTCCCCCAAACCATCGCTATGTGCTGTAAATGTTAACTACCCTGCACCCACCAATGTAAAAGAAGTATGTGAAAAGATAAAGACAGCACCATTGGCTATCATGGTGCCATTTGCCGAGCAGGCCTATGACCTGTTAAACATGACTGTCATTTTACTCTTTGGAACTTGTTCCCAGGACTGGAAATTACTCAAAAGCAAAAACAGATAGTCTGCTCTCTACAGCCAACGAGCAGAAGATAACACTGGAACAAACTGCAGCCTCGTGTTACAAGGCCCCCAGCAGCCCAGGGGCTTCACAATAGCAACCCCTCCACCCCCTTTTTTTAATCCAATTATAATCCAATAAAAGCTCAATGCTATGACTCTTCAATGCTGGTGCATCTCTCCATACCATGCCCCTCTCCTTTCTTGGAGAGTTAATAAAATATATTTTTTAGAGATTTTATTTATTTATTTTTATAGAGAAGGGAGGGGAAGAGAAAGAGAGAAACATCAATTTGTGGTTGCGTCTCACGCACTGCCCCCCCCACCCCCAGACCCAGCCCACAGCCTGGGCATGTGCCCTGACTGGGAATTGAAATAGCAACCCTTTGGTTCACAGGGTGCACTCAACCCACTGAGTCACACCAGCCAGGGCACAAAACCTTTATTCTCCACCCAGAAGTGTCCAACCTTTGGCCTGTGGGCGGCGTGCAACCCAGGCTGGCTATGAATGTGGCCCAACCCAAAACTGTAAATTTACTTAAAACATTATGAGATTTTTTGTGATTACGTGTCGCAATGTATATAACGTGTGGTCCAAGACAACTCTTCTTCCATGTGGCCCAGGGACGCCAAAAGGTTGGACACCCTGCTATATTTTCTTCTCTTCGTTAATTCTTTCACAGCCCCATCACCGACCACCCTAACAGAATGTATCTCTGTTTTACTCTTTATCCAGTCTGAGAGATTTCCCTGCTTTGCTTTTTCCCTAACTACCACCAATAAATTTCATGTAACAGCCCCCCTTAATCTCCTCCTTTGATTCCAATGTATAAAAAAGCCGTAAAACTGCCATTTTCTGGATTATTTTATTAGTTTGCTGAGATTTTGTTTGCCAGCAATTGTCAGTTTGGCTCAAATAAACTCATAAAAATTCTCTACAAGTCTGGACGTTTCTCACATCGACATCCACCTTCTCTGAGCCCCACTGAATCTTCATTAGGCAAAATAACGGTGGTGGGTTTGAGGACCAGCCGAGATCACGTTTAAAGCACAAAGTACATAGTAGGCGCTCAAGGAAGAGCAACTGTCATAGCTTGATTGGAGCCAAGGATCCATTGACTGACTGGGTTGTGACCAATGAGTCCCTCTCAGGACGTTTTCCGCACAGCATGGCTGTCTCAGCTTTCCTAGGACCCGCCCCGATTCTAGGTGTGTTTCTGCACCCGTGTCCCAGGAAAGGCGGCTGGAGTGGCGGTGCCGACAATGGCTGGCCCGTTTGCAGCTGCGCCCGCGGGCGGCTAAGGCGGCCGGCTCTCCTTCCGACTCACTCAGGCGGCAGCCACTTGCTCCCGTCGGGGGCGACAGGCGCTGACGGGCCAGTAGCGCTTTGGGGGTCTGAACGCCGGGCGCTCAGGCACCCGGCATCCCCCTTTGGGCCTCAGAGGGGCTTGGCTGCGCCCGGGCCGCCTCCTCCGGCGCCCCGCTCCCCCTCTCCTTTGTGGGGCGCCCCCGCGTGACTAATGTCTCTTGGCTTCCCGTAAGGAGGGGCGGGAGAGGGCGGGTCCGTGCTAATGAAAGCCTTGACTTCGTTTGGGACTAAAGGAGCTTTCCTGCTGGGGGAGACCGGACGGGGAGGGGAAATGTGTGTCTAGTTAAAACAAGTTTTAGAATCTTCTGCACTGTTAGAGTTACAGTGCGCTAGATCTACTCCTTCCTCTGTTAATTTGCAAACCTCTTCCCTCCCCCCCTTTGGTGAGGGGGCCACCTTTACTCAGGTAAGGCTTAAGTGTAGAGAACAGTAAGTCCTGCTCATCTTTGTGCCCTAAGTGGGCGCACAGAGGCCGGATCTAAGAACCACCCAGGTTCTGCTCGGGTGCAGACCCAAGTGGACGAACGTGCAAGGGTGGGGGAAGGGTGGGGTGGGGGACGCGGAGGGAGGGGTCGGGGCAAGGAGGGACGATCGGTAGTTTGACTCTCTCTGCCCTGGAGGAGGGGCCAGGGGCGTTGCCTGTCAAGATGCTGTGCCCATTTACTGGGGTCCCCTTAGTAAATTCTCAGTGTTGAGAAGTCCAGGTTTATTAAATATCTGTTATTTGCTTATTAATTATACCATCTCATAAGCTTCACATTTATCTTTATTCTTATTTTACAGGTAGGGCACTCAGAGGCTCCAGGAAGTTAAGCCACTTGCCCCAGGAAGCACAGCCAGTAAGTTGCCAAACTGTCTGACTCTTTCCACTGTACCAGTTTATCTGCCCAGCCTCTGGTTCTCCTTGGGACAAGGCCCCGCTACCAACCCAGATTACCCTATTTTTAAAGCCAGCAGTTTGGCCGTGGAGACACAGATACCGGCCAGAGTTTGTATTTCTTTGAAGAGAACATTTAACGGTCCATTTGCTCTGGTCTATAAATTTTCATACATGATGAACTGATTTAGTTCCACCGCCCATACTATTTCCTCCTGGGTGAGGCCTTGCCCCTGAAGGCTGAGCCTTTTCGCTGACTAGCCTGCTGACCAGCCCTGGGCCGGGGCAGGCCTGGCTGAGGAGCCCTGTGAGCGTTGCTGTGTAACTGGGCGTTCACTTTCTCCTGGAGCACATGCGAGCTCTGCTTCGTTCTCCTGCAGGGAATCAGGAGGGAATGGAAGCTGCCCTTGCTCTGCCTCCTGCTCCCTCTGTGACTGTGGGCAGGTCACTTGTCTTCTCAGAGCCTCCGTTTCTTCCTCTGGAAAGCGAGCAAGTGCGTTGGACCAGACTACCTCTAGGGTCCTGCGATGCGGTGTAGGCAAGCTTCTGTTCCTGGGTAGAGCCAGAACCACACCTACTGTTACGGCTGTCCGTTAGAGGGCCTGGTGTGGAAACTGTGACAGACAGTGGGGTTGTGCTGAATGAATGGCAGGCTGACAGCCAGTAGACTTGAATGGCCTTCCAGCATGCAGGACGCAGTATGGAATCAGTAAGGAATGTTTCAAGGTCCTCAGAACTGAGCTTAAAAAAAAAAAAAGCAAATGCATTCAGGATTCTAATGTAGTTCATAGTGTGAAGATTGGGTGTTTGTGCTCTTGTGTGAGATGTGCCTCCCTCAAACCTTGTTATGACATTGGCACATTACCCATCTGACCTGAAAGGAACAAAAAATTCAGCCCTGGCCTTATAGCTCAGTTGGTTAGAGCATCGCCTCAATACTCCAAGGTTAGGGGTTTGATCCCTGGTCAGGGCACATAGAAGCAACCAATGAATACACAAATCAATGGAGAAACAAATCAGTGTTCTCTCTCTCTCTCTCTGTAAAAATCAATTAAAAAAGAATGCATTCCGAGCAAAGAAAAAGACAAGTCAGGGGAGGAGGAAAAAGTCACTGCAGGGGCAGTGACACCACGTGGAAAAAGCGACTAACCCAGCCGGGAAGCTCGCACTGGGCAGACGGCCTGCCTGAGGCTGGTGAGTGAGGAACGGGGCCCACGGTGGCTTTCCTCTTTGTGTGTGGCTCTTTTCACTGGTTGCTGCTTGCAGACTCAGAGATGCTGACCCTGGAGGAGGGACTGGCAACCGGCTAAGGGCACTGGGGAGGCCCCAGACAGAGCCGGGGTGGGACGCTCAGCCTCAAAGTGGGTGCCTCTCTGGAGCCATCCCTGCCTCCCTCGGCTTGAGCTGGGGTTGGGGCAGGGTGGGGCAGGTGGGTGGGGTAGCCCTGGAGGAGTCAGAAGGAAGTGAGAGGCTAGGGTGGGGCAGGCTGGGAGGAAGCAGAGCTTGCCAAGTAGAAGTGGAAGCTGAGCTGCGGAAAGGTGAAAGTAGGCTGGGCAGTGGCGGGCCGGGACCCTCTTAGGTGGGCAGGTGAGGGCTGGCTGGTCTCCTGAAGGCCCTCAGCCAGCCTAGAAGTACATTCAGATTTGAGGATACCTGGCCCTCACACAGGACTGGTGTGTCTGTAGATAACTGGGCTGGAGTGGTTGGGGGAAGGGTCGGAGGAGCAGGCCAAGCATTTGAGTTCCAGTTCATTATTTTGCGAGTTCAACGAGACCCCCAGCCAAGGGTCTGGCTGGCTGCCGGGATTGGGGTTCGGGGAGGGGTGTAAAGTTGGAGCTGGAGGAAGGATAGGGGTCTTACCTGGTGTCAGGGGAAAGAGAACTAACTGAGGAGTCTCTGAACAAGGCCTCTGGACCCAGCTCCCCAGAATGTTTCCCATCCCTGACTGGGAGGAACTGGTGCTCACACTCACCCTTCCACCCTCTTTGGGGGAGAGGCGTAGGGACTGTTTCATTTCACAATCAGGGTCAAACAGGGACTGGGAGGTGAAGGGACCTGTTAGGGATCAATGGAATCAGGGAGCAGAGATATCACCAGAGGACTTTTGTCATTTTGACAGCCTCCAAGCATTGCCTTAAAAGTAAGCATATCAGCAAGACCTCCCACCCCCACCTCATCCTCTGTGTGCCCTCAAGGGCACGCTCCAGGCTCCAGGGCGTGCATCCTCCCCTCCCGCTGCCCGGGAAAGTCTGAGAGGATCCCTAGTCCTGCTTTCTGCCTGGGGCTGCCTTCGCCTGTCTCAACCTGTTGGAATCCTGTGCTCTCAACCTCCGCTCGGTCTAATTATCTGAGCCCAGCAAGTCCAATTAATTAAACACATTTTCTGAGCACCTGCAGGGTGAGGTTCCAGCTGGTTTCAGAGGCAGAAATACAGCCCCTGCCCAAAAGGCCCTTAGAGTCTAGCCCCAGAGGCAGGCAGGCCCCTAGCTCTCTGTACTGTGGCAGAGTGGGAAAGAGCAAAGGCTGTAAGGGGAGAGGTGTGGAAGAGGCTGACGATGAAGAAGTGTTCAAGAAGAGGATGGAGAAGGATGTTACAGAATGGATTTCTGCGTGGGTGCAGATGTGGAGTAAGGCTAGATAAGCATTAAGGTCCCTTCTAATGCTGACATACGTGATTATCTGACGTTCGCAATCCAGAGGAAGTTTGTCTGTGGTCCCAGTGGTTGTGACGGCTCCTGACTTCACCCCCCCACCCCCCAGGCTATGAGCCACAGGTTGTTCTTCATTTCGGTTCCCCTCCCCCCCACTCTGCCCAGTGCCATACTCCCTGTGTTGACTTTGAATGAAATTGTGCGGAGCCTTTCAGGGGCTGCTCGAGGAATTCAGAAGTGTCAGGCATGTCTCCTCCTCTGGTTGAGACATGAAGGTGTCAGTCCTATTATAAGGGAGCCTGGAAACAGGGGCTGAAAGTGTATGCTCGCAGGTGAGTGGGCTGGGAGAACTCCCAGAAAAGGCCGAGGCCACTGTATATTCCGAAAGTCTCCTTGGACAGCTGGGACTTGATATGGACCTAGAGAGCAGGGGCCTTTGGCAGACATGAGGAAGGAGGTGCACACTGAGGAGGCTCAAAGAGCTGTGGGCTTGGGCAGAGGGGCTGGGAGGGACAGGAGAGAGTGAAAGGCCAGAGGTGAGGTGGACCCCTGCCGTGAGCCCTGGGAGCGGCAGGCTGAAGGGCAGGGATCTAAGCAGGCAGCAGGAATATGAGCATCCTGGAGCTTCTGATAAGCAAGAGGTACATCAATTGGTTGCCTCTCACATACCCCCAACTGGGGACCTGACCTGCAACTCAGGCATGTGCGCTGGCTGGGAATCGAACTGGCAACCTGTTGGTCTACAGACCAGCACTCAATCCACTGAGCCACACCAGCCAGGGCCTCAGGCCGATTTTAACTGGTCGGCTATGTGGCCGGGGTATTGGGACATCAGAATCACCTTCAACATAAGTTCAAAGTGCTAGTGCACAGGCCCCACTCCAGACCCGTGGAATCCAAATCTCCAGGCTGGGGTTTGGGCATCCTTGTTTTTATAAGATCCTGAGGTAACTCTCCCAGGCAGCCAAGGTGGAGAGCCAGGGTGATGAAGGAGCAGGCAGCCCAACCCTTCTCCTCAAGACCCTGCAGTGGCTCTCGAGGCCTGGAGCCCCTGCCCGTGGGCTGCTTGCTTTTGAGTTACAACCTGAGCTCTCCGATCAGTAACAGAATGAAAAATAATGAAGCTGACAACTGGCTCTCTTGTTCACACCAACTCTGTTCCGAGCTCTCGCCGCTGCCTCACCACTTCAGACGTGAGTCACAGGCTGGGCTGCCCATTGCAGGGGATGTGGGCGCAGCATGTGACTCTGTGGGATGGGGAAATGTTACTGGTTCCTGCTTCCAAACCTTCGCCTCCCCGCCCCCACCCTTGGGGATGTGTAGTTCCAAAAAAAAAAAAGAAAGAAAGAAAGAAAGAAAATGCCTTTAGTTATGTTGTAGGTCAGGAAAGGAAAAGGGAAGTCATAATTCACATGGTATCTTACATCCATTACCCCTGCTTCTGTTTCCCCTGGTGTTTGCCACTCAGACTCAGCACTCTCTGCTCCACCTCCCGCAAAGACTTCTTTGCTTCCCCAGCCCCCAAGAATCTCCTGAGGGTGCCAGTTTGCCTCTTCACCCTCAAATGCCCAGGCCCTTAGGCAGCACCGCTGGGGCTCACCTTGCAAAGATGCTGCTCAGCACACAGCATGAATTGTGCTGCACTACTTGCTAGTGTGGGCTCTGCATATTAAGCTAAAAAAAGAAACCCTCTAGTAATGGGAACATATGAAAGAGACAGTAAGTCAAGCTATAGCTACTGCATTTACTGAATTTTTAAAAAGATAATATGTTTTTTTAGCCCTGACTGGTGTGGCTCAATGGGTTGGGCATCATGCGGCAAGCTGAAAAGGTTGCTGGTTCGAGTCCCCGTAGAGGTGCACGCCTGCGTTGCAGGCCGGCCCCTGGTTGGGGGCATGTGAGAGGCACCCATAGGAATGTTTCCCTCGTACGTCTCTTTCTCTCTCTTTCTCCATCTCTTCTCTCTTTAAAAATAAATAAATAAAATCCTTTTTTTAAATTTTGTTTTTAAGTATATTTTATTATGCCATTACAATTGTCCCATCTTTTTTCTCCCCTTTACCCCCTTCCACCCTACACCCATCTCCCTTCAGCAACCCCTCCGACCTCCCGCCCCCTTAGTTCAAATCCATGGTTGTATAAATAAGTTCTTTGGCTTCTCCATTTCCTATACTATCCTTAACCTTCCCCTGTCTATTTTATACCTGCCAATTATGATTCTCACTTTCTGTACCTTTTCCCCCATTTTCTCTCCTCCATCTCCACACTGAAACCCTCCATGTGATCTCCATTTCTGTGATTCTGTTCCTGTTCTAGTTGTTTGCTAGGTTTGTTTTTGTTTTTGTTTTTTAGGTTCAGTCGTTGATAGTTGTGAGTTTATTGTCTTTTTTACTATAAAACTTTTCATAGTCTTAATCTTTTTCTTAGATTAAGTCCGTTTAACATTTCACATGATTATGACCCAGGCTTGGTGATGATGAACCCCTGTAGCTTTACCCTGTCTGGGAAGCACTTTTTATCTGCCCTTCCACTCTAAATGGTAGCTTTGCTGAATAAAGTAATTTCGAATGTTGGTCCTTGCCTTTCATGACTTTGAATACTTCTTTGCAACCCTTTCTTGTCTATAAAGTTTCTTTTGAGAAATCAGCTGATAGTCTTATGGGAACTCCATTGTAGGTAACTGTCTCCTTTTCTCTTGCTGCTTTTAAGATTCTCTCCTTATCTCTAACCTTGAGTAATTTCATTACGATGTGTCTTGGTGTGTTCCTCCTCCTTGGTGTGTTCCTCCTCCTTGGTGTGTTCCTCCTCCTTGGTGTGTTCCTCTAATTTCTTTGGGACTCTCTGAGCTTCCTGGCATGTCATTTTCCTTTGCCAGATTGGGGAAGTTTTCCTTCATTATTTTTTCCAATAAGTTTTCAATTTCTTGGTCTTTCTCTTCTCCTTCTGGCACCCCTATAATTTGGATGTTGGAATGTTTAAACTTATCCCAGAGGATTCTAAGCCTGTCCTCAGTTTTTTGAATTGTTTCTTCCTTCTGTTCTAAATTGTTGATTTGAGTCCCAGTTTCCTTCCCTTCACTGTTGGTTCCTTGTATATTTTTCTTTATTTCACTTTGTATAGCCTTCGGTTCTTCTTTTATTTTGCAGTCATACTCAACTAATTCTGTGAGCATCCTGATTACTAGTGTTTTGAACTGTGCATCTGATATGTTGGCCATCTCCTCGTTGCTTAGTTCTTTTTCTGGAGTTTTGATCTGTTCTTTCATTTGGGCCATATTTCTTTGTCTCCACGCACCTGTTATGTTGTAAGGGGCAGAGCCTTAGGTATTCTTTGGGGCAGGGCAACCCACTTCTCTGCGTCGTGGCGCTGTATGTGGGGAACGGGTCAGAGAGGGAACAATGCCGCTTGTTCGGCTCTCACCCCACTTTGAAAAAAATGAGTTTCTCCCACTGCCACAACCCCCACAGATTTTTACAGCCAGATGTTCTGAGGCCTTATCTCACCCTCGCTGGAACCCTGGGTTCCACAGTCTATCTCACTCCCCAGTTATTCCTCCTGGCTTATCTGCACACGAAACTGGGACACCCCCCGCCCTCCCCGGCTGCCAGCTGCCAGCCGCCGCCTTGCCCTGCATCCTCTCCACCCCAGCTGCCCTTCTCCGCCCTCCCACCAGTCTGGATGAATGTTTCTTCTTTACCTTCTTGATTGTTGAACTTTATACAGTTCGATTTTCTGGAAGTTTTGGTTGTTTTTTGGTTTTAGTGGTTGCTGTCCTTTTGGTTGTGTGAGGAAGCGAAGCGTATCTACCTTTCAGCTTTCTTTTTCCATTCTCAATAATAAAATCTTTAAGAAAAAAGATAATATATTTTAAAGTGCTTGCATTTAGCATTTTTTTCCTTGAATAATTTTTGTCCAAAAGAGGTTTCAGCCACTGTCCTACAGAATAAAGATGATGTTCATCATCCTGATATTTAAGGGGAGCTGGGTATATAGAAAGAAAAGCTGATGTTTGGGAATAGGTGAAATTCCTCAGAGTTTAGACTTAGAGAAGGTATTAAACACTAAGTTTAATGTTAACTGTAGGTTGTTTTCTTTTTCCTAGTTTTTGTTTTAATAGATGCCTTTAACAGGTTAAGGAAGTTTGCTGAAAGATTTTTTGTTTGTTTTTTTTTGGAGGGTGTGGGTTTGTTTTTCTTTTGTTTTGAAAGTTTTTTAAAAAATCAAAAATGGATGTAGAATTTTGCTAACTGCATTTTCTGCATCTATTGAGATAAAAATAAAGAGATAAATAAATGCACTTTCACTTAAAAAGTAATAATAAAGAAATAGTTAATAGGGTGTATTACATTGATTTATTTTCAGATGTTAAACCAACTTTGCATTTCTGAAGTAAATCCCCATTTAGTCATATGTTTTATCCTTTATATTATTGAATTCTATAAGCTAAAATTTTTTTAATATGTTTTATGCCTTGTGTTCATGAGTGATATTGGTCTAGTTTTCTTTGCTGTAGGATATTTATCTGGTTTTGTTATATCAGGATAATGCTGGCAACATAGGATAAATTGAGAAGTGTTCTCTTCTATTTTTGGAAGACTTTGTATAGAATTGGTGTTATGTCTTTCTTAAGTTTTTGGTACAACATATCCAGACTGGGAATTTTGGGGGCGGGGAGGGCTTTTTAAGTACAAATTCAGCTTCTTTAATAGAAACTATTAAATAGAACTTAATAGAACTATTTCTAATCTATTTCTTCTTAAGTGAACTTTCATAATTTGCATCCTTCAAGGAATTTGCCCATTTTATATGTTGAATATATCAGCATAAAGTTTCTGTAATATTTTCTTTATCCTTTTAATATCTATAGAATCTGTAGTGATGTCATTTTTTTTTTTTAAACAAGATTTATTTATTTATTTACAGACAGAGGGGGAGGGAGGGAGAGAAACATCAATGTGTGGTTCTTCGTGCTCCTCCTACTGGGGACCTGGCCTACAACCCAGGCATGTGCCCTGATTGGGAATCGAACCCGCGACCTCTGGTTCACAGGCTGGCACTCAGTCCACTGAGCCACACCAGCCAGGGCATGAGGTCATATTTCTTGTTTCTGTATTGGGAATTTGTGTCTTTTATTTTCCCTAATGAGTTTGTCTAAAAGTTCATTAATTTTATTGATTTTTTTCAAAAACCAAATTCAATGATTTCCTCTCTTTTTTTGTTTTTTGTTAATCTCTGTCTCATTTTTATTATTTATTTTCTTTTGATTATTTGGGGTTTAATTTGCTTTCTTTTTTTTTTTTTTTTTTCCAGTTGTGGAAACCTAAGTAATTGATTTTAGACTTTTGTAATATGAGCAGCTGTTATTTAGGGAGCTGTATTCCAGCCTCACACAGTGCCTAGAGTTACAAGTCTGGAAGCAGAAGAGAGGTAGCCGAGTGGTCGCAGTATGGGGAACACACTGGCCCAGGAGCCAGAGACCTGGTTTTCTCTAGCCACTCACTAGCTGTGTGACTTTGGACTTAGACTCTCTGAGCTTTAGTTTCTTTGCCTGTCTAATGGTGCCAGGGATAATCTCTTCGGTTCTTGGAGATAAGGTAGTTGATAAATATGACAGCACTTGGTCACCTGGAAGGGCCTCCCCAGACCAATGTGAAGGGTGGTTGTCGTGACATTTGTAATAATAAAGATTTCTTCTCTCTTTCCAGATCCGGAAGCGGCATGTATGCACCCATCCCCCAGAGGTACGCTGTGCCCCCCATCCCCTTTCACCCTCCCCTCCTTCATTTCCAAGGGCTGTCTCTCCTCCCAGCACCCCTTCTCCCCAGGCCTGCCTCCGTCTCTCTGCTCGAGGCCAGCCCTCTCTCCTTCCACAGCAGTTCTCCATTCCCGGCATCGGTGAAGGACCCCGGCCTGCATGTGTGGCGGGTGGAGAAGCTGAAGCCGGTGCCAGTGGCCTACGAGAACCATGGCATTTTCTTCTCGGGGGATTCCTACCTAGTGCTTCACAATGGCCCAGAAGAGCTCTCCCACCTGCACCTGTGGATAGGTGAGGGGCTGCAGGGTAGGAGGGATCAGAGCCCCCGGGGCAGGCATGGGTCTCACGGGTCTGGCCCTGCCCCCTCCCACCGCCCCAGGCCAGCAGTCGTCCCGGGATGAGCAGGGGGCCTGTGCCGTGCTGGCTGTGCACCTCAACACCCTGCTGGGGGAGCGGCCTGTGCAGCACCGAGAGGTGCAGGGCAACGAGTCCGACCTCTTCATGAGCTACTTCCCGAGGGGCCTCAAGTACCAGGTCAGCCCACCCTGTGGCTTCTCTCAGCCTGCCCGCCTTCCAGCTGGTTCTTATCCTGGGCTTGGGCCCGGGTCCTCCCCACCTTCTTGTCCGTCTCCCAGTGGGATGGGGAATGGAGGGCCCCGGGCCCCCTGCCAGCCCACTCAGGCTGGCCATCTGGGCTGCAGGAAGGCGGAGTGGAGTCAGCATTTCACAAGATCTCCCCAGAGGCCACCCCAGCTGCCATCAGGAAACTCTACCAGGTGAAGGGGAAGAAGAACATCCGCGCCACTGAGCGGGCACTGAGCTGGGACAGCTTCAACACTGGGGACTGCTTCATCCTGGACCTGGGCCAGGTGGGTTGGCAGGGCTGGATGGAGCACTCAGTGTGGGCACCGTCCTTAAAAGGGCAGGGACCAGGAGGCCGGGGGAAGCCTTGGCTGGTGTGGCTCAGTGGATTGAGCGCCGGCCTGCGAACCAAAGGGTCGCTGGTTCAATTGCCAGTCAGAGCACGTGCCTGGGATGCGGGCCAGGTCCCCAGTGGGAGGCTTGTGAGAAGCAACCACACATTGATGTTTCTCTCCCTCTCTTTCTTCCTCCCTTCCCCTCTCTCTAAAAATCTTTAAAAAGAAGGGGGAGGGGGGCATGGACCAGGAGGCCAGGGGAGAGGGAGAGAAGCTGAGAAGCTCTAAGTCCATTTCAAGTGGGTCTGAACCTTAGAAACATCCCTGTATTCCGAAGGACAGAAACCTCCCTCTGCCATCTAGCCATTGCCACTAACACGGGAGCCTACCCTCCCTCTCTTAGTTAGCTGCCTGCCGGACCATCCATTCATTTATTCACTCCTGCTTTCACTCAGTGAACCCGCGATGCCTACTCTGAGCCAGCGTGGGGACCACTCATTGCTTGCCCTGGGGAGGCGGCCACAACAGGCCTGGCCTGTCACTTGCTGTAATCCATGGCAGAATGCGATGAGGATTCTAGGAGGCAGGGGCATGTGCTGGGGGAGCTTGGGCAGGGAGGGGCTCTTAAACCTGAGCCAAAGCCATTGTACCCAGAAGGTGCCATTTGACTAGACCTTCACAGAAGGGAAATGCCACTCTGGGCAAAGGGACAGGTGAGCTGAGGCACTGAGGCAGGGGAGGGTGTAAACATGCATGTTAACAGCAAGGATAGGGTGGGGACAGGAGCCATGGGATTGAGAATTGCTAAGGAGGGTGAGCCCCAGGCCATGAGGAGACTGGCTGAGAAGTCTGGACCACCTCTTGTGAGATGGAGGCAGGAGGACCAGCTAGGGAGAGGAGGTGAGGGCTGTGCCTGGCTGGGGTGCAGGTAGGATGCTCAAGGATGGCGTGCGTGCGTGCGTGCGTGCATTCATTCCATAGAGTTATTTTGTGCGCCAGTCTTTGTGTTAGCACTGGGCATACAGCAGTGAACAAAGCAAAGCAAAGCAAAACAAAACAAAACACACATGCCCTAGTGAAGCTTTCTACTTAATTATATATAAGATAAAGACATTGACACGTATGCTGCTCAGTGCTGTGGAGAAAAGCAGAGCAGGAGGGAGCCTGGGGAGCTGGGCAGAGAAACACCCTTGCAGGGAGTTGTCATCATCATTCTCAGGCCTTCTTTAACCCGGGCCCCCCACTTTCCTTCAGAACATCTTCGTCTGGTGTGGTGGGAAGTCCAACATCCTGGAACGCAACAAGGCACGGGACCTGGCCTTGGCCATCCGGGACAGTGAGCGGCAGGGCAAGGCCCAGGTGGAGATCATCACGGATGGGGAGGAGCCTGCCGAGATGGTCCAGGTAGAGGGGACGTTGGGATGGCGGCCTCTGCTTGGAAGCTGCTGAGAGAAGCTGTGATCAGCTTGGGGGCAGTCGCTGGAGGATGGGGCGGGGGACCGTCGGGGCCACTGCTTGTAGGGTACCTTGTTGTGATTCAGAGTAAAGTGCCTCTGTGGGCAGATGGGCCAGTGGCCTGGCAGGTGGGGTGGCTGGACCCAGCCCCCACTCATCTCTGCTGGATACCCTCGTGCAGGACAGTTGCCCCACCAGGGGCGGTGGCCCCGAGTGTAATGGGTTGGAAGGTCCAGGACAGGAATCCCTGGGAACCTGGTCTGCCTTGACTCCCGCAGGTCCTGGGCCCCAAGCCTGCCCTGAAGGAGGGCAACCCTGAGGAGGACCTCACAGCTGACAAGACTAATGCCCAGGCTGCGGCTCTGTATAAGGTGGGCATTCCGGGCCTGCCCTGGGAGCCCGGCAGGGGCGGGAGCCTGATGCACCAGGGGCGGACGGGAGAGGAGAGAGCAGTGGGCAGTTCGGTCCGGGCACCAGGGCGGTGTACCCAGGGCGAGGAGGGCGAGGAGGATGGGAAGTGGGTGGGAGCCGGGCCCTCCTGAGGAAACACATGCTAGTTCACTCCCAGCCCATTCCTAGAGGAGATCTGAAGACGTTGAGCTTTACTTTTTGAGTTCTTCGTATTTATTTGTAATGTGGAATCCACTTAATTTCCAAACAGATTTGGTGCCTCTGGCTGCAGTGATGAGTGTGATGTGAGGGGTGGGGGTGCCCAGGACTTGCCCATCAGAGCTTTCCCCTGCTCCCTGTCCCCTGCCTGTTCCGCGGGCCTGGGCCTGGGCCGGGGGCCAGGGGCTGTGGCGCAGGGAGGCAGCCTGCTCCTTGGACGGAGGCTGACTCGTGTGTTGGGAGTGGCAGGGTGACCCCACACTGCTCATCTGTGTTAACCTAAAAATATAAAGGCCTTTCAAACTGCAAGGCAACAAGCATTTATTTGAAATCAAAAGAATAGCTATTTGGGACACGCTGATTCAGGCAGAAGCCCAGAGAGTGTTCTGATTAGGAGACAAAGGCAATGGGTATTTATGGGAAAGGAAAGGGGAACAATTACATCAATAGAAGGCATTCTGCCGGAACCGATAATATAACAGTGACGCTAATTCTGAATGTTTTTAATTTTCAGTCTTGTAGTCTTCAGTCCAGTCTTCGTCATACCTGCTTTCTTTTTATCTTTGCAAACAGTTCTTTGAAACACAGTGTTGCTTAGGCCGGATCTAAAGGTTACTTTGTCCTATTTAAGATTCCAAAAGTTGGAGGTCTATGTGCAAGGCAGTTCCTCTGGGATCTCAGCTTCAGCTCCATTTTAAAGTGACTGTGTTCACATTGTTCTGACACATCCTCCCCAAGGTCTCTGATGCCACTGGACAGATGCACCTGACTAAGGTGGCCGACTCAAGCCCCTTTGCCCTTGACTTGCTGATACCTGATGACTGCTTCGTGCTGGACAACGGGCTCTGTGGCAAGATCTACATCTGGAAGGGTATGTGTAGCTTCTGCACTCCAGCCTGAGACCTGTGCCTGCTCTAATCCCAGCAGGCTTCCCACGGTGGGGGCGTGGCCTGCCTGGCCGCCTTCAGAAGGCAGCCTCTGGGAGCCCCGATACCCTAGGCCTGACCCCCAGGCTGAGAGTTTTGTCTTTTCTGTTCCCACCCTGTCCATTCTAGGCAAACATTCTCTGATCTTTCACAAACCTAAGGGCTGAGGGCCTGTGAAAACAGATAGCTGGACAGCCCCCACTCCCACCCCTTCCAATCTGATTCAGCAGGTCTGGGCCAAAGCCCAAGAAGCCCCCAGGACCGCTGATCCTGCCATTCTGCCTTGAGGGGTAACAGAAGTGTTAGATAAATTGAATCTCACTTTATCCAGTAGGCAGTGAACGGGTAGAACTTGTTTTTCCAAGACATTGTTTTGGTCAGACATAGAAACACTTGGGTAGAACTTGTTTTTCCAAGACATTGTTTTGGTCAGACATAGAAACACTTGGGCAGCCCATTCCTTGGTCTGACTCTGAAATGTTGCAACAGAACAGTGTCTGGGTGACCCTGGGAGCTTCGTGCCTTCTCCACACTTGTCTTTGCATGAGCATGTCTTACCTCCCCGACCAGATTTTAAACTGCTTGAAAGCAGGAGCCATATCATCTCTAATGTCTTGTATAGTTTGGTTGCTCAATACATATCTGTGTGGTCAGCCAAGGCCAAGAAAAATTTGCAGCCCTAGCTTGGTCAGGAAGATAGAGTGGTGTTGGTGTTAGGTGTTCTAAGTAGGGTGAGTACTAGGCAATAACACTGTTGCTTCAGGGAAGGGCCGGAAGCAGTAAGCAATCTGTCAGGTTCCTAAAAAAAGGGGGTGTGTGTGTGTGGGGGGGTTGTGCTACCAGGGCTGCCTTTTCCCTCTTGCCACAGGGCACCATGGAACCAAGCAGGGAGTGGGGGTGGGGGGAAGGGATGTCCCTGGAAGTGTATTTAACCCCAAATGAAGAACCGAACCGTTTAGGAAAGAGAAACCAGGGGAGAAAAAGAACAGGAAATTCGAGCCAGGAAGAAAAGTACCTTGTGGGTTGGTGGTCAAATCATAGGAAGTATACTCCGCATTATAGACAGACTGTAACTAAGGGGTGTTACAGCCTGGTTGGTGTTTTTTCCAAGCGAGGGCTTGCTGCCGAACATGCCTAGAGCCAGTACTATGGCACTGGCTTTTGAGAAAAGAGAAAAGCTTTATTGGGAAGTCGACCAGCAAGGAGACAGGAAGCAAGGCTCAGATAGGAGGGTTTGGGGTGGAAGGGCTTAGGGAAGGCCAGCCTGCTGTGTGGAAGTGCTGGCAGGGCAGGTTTCCGTGGGCGGGCTTCAGCTCCCGACCTTTCTGCACAACAGGCCCTTCAATTCCGAAAGGATTCCGATGACCAAGCTCTGGTCACGTCTCTGCTTTTTGGTTCCATGAGGTTGGGGGCAAAACTGGTACCGGGTGTTACTGAAAGTCAAAATTCTCTCCTCTGTGAATGCTTTGGCTGCATGACAACGATTTTTTTTGTTTTCTTGACCCTGCAAAACAACTTAGTATCTTGTTAGAAAAGGATAAGGCCAGTTTGAGGTGGTTCTGTAGTTACAGTGTTAATGAACAAGACTTCAACTCAGTAAATTTAAGGATCACGCATCAGGCTGCAGACCATCTGGTAAACGGAAAGGTACTGAGGCGCTGCACGAAGTGCAAGGCTTCCATAGGCAGAAGGGGACTGGCGACAGCCCTGCCGGTGGCTCAGGTGATTGGAGGGCCATCCTGTACACCAGAAAGTTGTGGGTTTGATCCCTGGTCAGGACACATACCTAGGTTGTGGGCTTGATCCCTAGATGGGGCGTGTTCGGGAGGCAACTGGTCAATGTTCTTCTGTGTCTCTCACTCAAGCCAATAAATATATCCTCAGGTTAGGGGGGAAAAAAGAGAGAGAAAAAGTGGGACAAAGAAGTAAGAAGAATAGATTACTTCAGGCAAGGCCCCTTTCCCTTATGGAGAGGCAGGGGTCTTATCGGCCAGATCACCTCACTAGCACGGACCAGGAAATTCCAGACGTGTTGGTTTTAAAATTCCACTCCTGTGAGAGGCTGAAACTGCAGTGAGGTTGGGTATTAGGTCTGTGGGCCTTACCAGAAGTGATTCCAGTTTGGTCTGTTTGTTTTTAGCACTGGAGAACCAACCGCAGTTCACAACATTGTTGCTTTGGAAAAATGCCTTAAGCTAGAGCCCATTTTGTGTTAAAGGGACTGCCTACAGGAGAGAATGGATGGCTCTGGTGTCTTCCTTTTTATATGCTGTTCGTTGGCATAACTATGAGGCCTCCTCCGCTATCTGGCATTATGGGAGTAAGACTGGAGTACATCACACCCTTTTGTCCTGGTCAGTTGTACAGAGAAGGCTTGATAACGGTACAGTTGGCCGGCTCAGGAGGCGAGGGTCCTGGAGTGGGGCCATGGCTCTAACGCGTGACGCTGGGAGAACACTCGTTCTCCTGAAAATCCCTGGGGCCCGGGTCTGAACAGAAAGTTTTGATGGTTAGAGCAGGCAGAAGAGCAGTGTTCATCAGGCTGGGAGAAGTGTTAAGGGGCTGACTTCATGCCGCCAGAGAGCTCCTCAGCATTCTTAGCACCGCCTGGTCCATTTATTTTAAAAGTTGCCAGCCATTCTGTGGCCCCCCCCTTACATTTCCTCAAGAAAAATGGCACATGGGGTAGAAAGTGTTCCTGCTCTTTTGAAAAATCTTTCTCCGACCCAGGGCGAAAAGCTAACGAGAAGGAGCGGCAGGCGGCCCTCCAAGTGGCCGAGGACTTCATCTCCCGCATGCGATATGCCCCAAACACTCAGGTGAGGAGACACTCGGGGCCCCCAGCTTTCCTCTGGGGCTCTCCCCATGACCTCCCCTCTTCAGACTGGACAGGAGGGGCAGGAAAGCCTCAGACACAGTCAGGAGCAGTTAGGCCTCCCTTCCAGACTCACCCAGTGAGGAAGCCCTTCTCGGTCCTTAAAATTTTAAAGTACGTATTATTTTCTGAGAGGATGTTGGGCAGCACTCCTTGGGGAGCCGAGAGAGCCGGCGTGCCTTTGGACAGCTTGTACACTTCCTCTGGGCTATTGTCCCAAGCTGGTACCAGCCCTTCTCACCCAAGCCCGGTGACTCCACAGATCATTTTGATGGGATCTGATAAGGCTCATCTGTAATTGGTGCATCTGTCGAACTGTTCACCTATGTCCTGGAAGCAGCCTCTTTCCTCAGCTGTGTCTCTGTAATCTTTCTCATCTCTTGTCTTATCTGGAGGAGCACCCTTGGCCTGGACAGCACGAACTCAGGCCCGGTGCCCAGCACCCTGCTCCATGGCTCCGGCCTTGCCCGGAGGAGACAGGATGGCAACCTTGTGAGCAAGATATCTCCCTGCTGTCCTTGCAGGTGGAGATTCTGCCCCAGGGCCGCGAGAGTCCCATCTTCAAGCAATTCTTCAAGAACTGGAAGTAAGAGGAGCATCTCCCCCCGCCCACCTGCTTGCCTGTTTGCTCTCCCTCCCACTGCCTGGTCAGTGCCGAGGTGCCCCTGCAGATGTTCAATAAAGGAGACCAGTGTCTTCCCCACGCTCTGCCTGTACTGCTTGCCCTGGGCTAGTTCTTCCTGCCCTGCCTACTCACTGGGGCTTAGTCCCATGCTGGGATAGAGTAGAAGCCAGGGACAATTCCTTATCCTCTCCCAGGGGCCAGAGCTGGCTCTGCATGATGAAAGCTGAGGGGCCAGGAATCCCAGTGGGCCTGGCAGATACGGCTGTGAACCCGGTAGGGAGGTGGCACAATGCCAGGCCTCAGGATCACTTTCAGCCAAGGGTTCAGATCAGTCTCACGTTCCCAACGGAGAGAAGGTTGTGGCAACAGGCTGGGGATGCCTCTCCGTTCAAGCTAGTATTTCCTCAGCTGCCCAAATAAACCATTGCAAGGCAGCTTCCAAGTGACATGTGCTCACCAAGCAAAAGGGCAGGAGTCTGGCTTGACACTTCGTAGGCACATTGCATCAAGTGTTACCAGGCTGATGAGCCCAGAGCCACCATGGGCTGCAGCAAAAGCACAAGAGTCATGGGTCCGGTTCTTCCCCTGCTTCCATTTTATCCTCGGCAAGTTGCTTTTCCTTTTCTAGGCCTTAATTCATGCTCTTGCATAATAGGGTGGTGGCTGGAGTATCAGAGGGGTTAGACCGTTAAATAGGGGGAATATGGAGGCGCCCCAAAGCAGTCCCACCCTGGAAGCATGACCCAGAGGGGCAAGAGCACGACGGGGGCTGCGTAAGCCTGGCCGGCCGTGGCTGCCGTGACCTGCCGGCACCCATGCGCCCTCGGGGCCATCTGCTTCTGAGCTCTGACGTGCTGGATTCTTCCTTCCCAAATGGAAATTCTGAACAAGTTCATCTTGTTGATTTTGTGCCAAGAAGCATAAAAAGTCAGCTCCCTGCATACCTATCTTTCTCTGCACAGAGACAGCCAGTCATATATCCACCTGTCTCCACAAAGCATGTACTGGGGATCCTTTTAAAAACTTATTTTATTTTTTAAAAGATTTTATATATTTATTTTTAGAGTGAGGGGAAGGGAGGGAGAAAGAGGAAGAGAAATATCGATGTGTGAGAGATTCGGTTGTGTCTTGCATGCCCCAACTGGGGACTTGGCCTGCAACCCAGGCATGTGCCCTGACTGGGCAGTGAACCGGCGACCTTTCAGTTTGCAGGCTGGCACTCAATCCACTGAGCCACAGCAGCCAAGGCAGATCCCCCCCACCTCCCCAAAGAACACTGCTTTGACCAGAAGCTCCAGGGATGACCTTATAAAGGGGGAATAAGGGATGCACCAAGTCTGTGGTTCTGACATTTTTAGGGTTGTGAAGCATTTTAATTTTCCCATGAAAGGCCTAGGCGGACCTTCACACACCAAAAAATGCAAATCAAGAATTTTGCTTCTACTTTCAGAGGGTTCATACACACCTCCCCCAGAGTCAACAGAACTGCAACTTTATCCCTGGGCTGTGTTATTGCGAGCATTCAGGATGTGAAGCGGTGAACGCCTTGCTGTCTGGAGAGCATGATATGGAGGGATGCAGGAAGGAAGGGCACCTGCGGAGGCGGCTGGCTTCCCTCCAGCTAGAGGCCCACCTGGCCTGGGCCCTGGCTGTGCCCGCGAGCATTCACAGTCAGGCCTGCACAGTTAGCCCTCCTGGTATTAGCAAGCGGAAGGAATCTGCGGAAAGGAACCCCTGAACCTGATGCTCCACAGCGGAGGCTGAGCTGCGCCCCGAGCTCCAACCCCACCCGTCTCCCTGCCAGCTCTGCTGGTCAGCTAAGCATCTGAGCTGGAGGAACTGAGACGGACAAAGGATCAGTTCATGTTGGCAGAGGCGGCGCAGGCAAACCGCAGGGTCCGTCACCAGCCCCACGCTTGAGGCATCCCACTGAGAGCAGTGACAAGTGCCCTCCCACACGTGGGTGGCCATGTGTCATCCCCGCCTCTGATGGGTGCTCCCTCCTGAGGGTCAGACTTGGAGAGGCCTGCAGGGGCTAGACAGTGAGTGGTCTTCCGCGACTCTGCTTGGGGGAGGAGAGCAGCGTAGTGGGGCTCTCACCTGCCCATGCCCTCCCCTGCTCTGGCCCTTGTGTGAATGGCTCAACAGAGCCAGCTTCCCCAGGAACAAACAGGAAAACCCCAGTGTGGCTGCTTTATACCAGTCAATCTTAACAAGAGCCAGGGCCACCTCACCCACTAGCTAGAGTGTGCAAGAGTCTCTAGACCCGCAAGTGCAGGGTGGACGCCGGGTGAACTGCGGAAGTTTGGCCAGGGCAGAGCACCCTCTCTTGGAGCCCATGCCCAGTGCCCTGACCCCCTGGGGTGCCTGGCTCTGACAGGGCCCCAGGAAGGCGCAAGGCTCTTGGAGAAAAACGTGTGGAACTGTTAATCCAGAACAACTCTTTTATTCAATAACTGCTGTGTGAATTTCCTCCTCCCTTCAACCAGGCTAGAAAACCGTCTTTGGTGGAACCTGCGCAGCCCCCATGGGGAAGCCCAGCTGGTAGGCGGTTAGGATGGGCAGCAATGGAGACACAAAGCAGGGAGGAGAGACAGGGGCCCGGCAGCGGGGTAAATGCAAGGCCAGCAACCCCAGGGGGACCCTGACACTGGCCTGGTGGATGGAGAAGAGTAAAGCCAGCCCAGCTGCGGCCTTGGGTAGCTTGCTCTGGTTCATGTTGCCCCTGTTGGCTGCTGCCACGGCTACCTTCTCCCTTCAAATTCCAGCTACCGTATGATCCTGTCTTACAGCCAGCTGGGCCCTGAAAGCCCTACTTAGGAATGTCCTTCAATGTGCGGGTACGTGGAACATCCAGATGGGGCGCTCCCACCTCAGGACCCTTTCACTCTCAAGGTGACTTGGAACCCAGCTTGGTAACCTGTAGCCCAACTAAGGTTACAGCAAAGTTCTTGTTCTGGAGGCAGAGCTGTAGGGAGCGGGTCAAGTGTAACTCCCTGATATGTCACGAGGACGAGGGTCATTGGCTCCTCTAACCAGGCCAGGGAGCCGCCTATATCCCTTATGCTGAGAGGGGAAGGGGCTAGGCCCAGCCGAGGTGTCCCTGGGATGGTTTGCCTGTGCCCCGGCCTTTAAGTCTCTCTGTCAGTCAGCCCCAGGTTGGTCAGCTCGGCCATGCGCCTTCGGAGGAGGGTGCGGGCAGGTCGCACACGCCCATGAAAGTGAGGTCCTTGGAGTGAGGGGCTTGTGCCCGGTGGCACTTCTGCACTCCCGACAAGGAAGCCTGTCCCTTTGATACTCCGGCCAAGTAGATCTCCAGGGTCTTGAGCAACCGCCTTGGGCTCTTCTTGGCTAACACTTCCAAGTCTGGTACAGAGAACATTGGGGAACAGAAGGCTTGAGGGGGTTTTGGACGGCACAGTCCAAGGCCCCGTAGCTCAAGGGAGCACCCCCAGCCCAGGACCTATGGAGAGAAGGTGAAGGAGACTTCTAACTTCTAAGATGGGGAGCTCACCAGAGCGGGAGATCAGGGAACCAGATGAGCCACAGGGACAACTGCAACTTTGAACAGTCAGTCCACTGTCGGAGCCGGGTTCTGATTCAGAAAATGTGAACACCGTGGGTATGAGGGCAGAAACGGAGGGGAAGGCGGCAGAAAAAGGAGAACTATCAGGCTCCAAAAGGTAGGCTGGAAGGGAACTGCAGCCAAAACCAGTCTAGCCACTATCCTGGGGTCCCTGAGCCGGCGGACACCAGCAGTTCAGGAGCGAGGTCTCCCCGGAAGAAAGAGCATACCTTTGAGGACAAAGCCTGAGTCTGAGATGGTCTTCTGCTGCGTCTTCCACACCTGAGCGAGGTGGAGGAAAGTGGCGGCATAGAAGCTGTTCACTACTGGGATCACCTTCTGCTGCTGATTACACTCCCTGCAGGACAAGGGAGGTGATCTGCTCAGCAGGGGACAAAAGCTGACACCTGGGCGCCGTCCCATGCTCTTCTCCCCAGGAGCCCTTCCCCAGGCAGCCTTCCCATCTGAGGTCAGGGGTGGGGAGGAGAGATGGGCAGAGGGACTGGCATGGGTACCCGGGGACTTTACCTAGTGCCCCCAGGAGCCAGCAGGTGAGGAAGAAAGCTGGGGAGGAGGAGGCAGGAGGGAGGGAACCAGGCTCTGCTGGGCCACGAATCAGCTGGGGTGGGGGTTGAGCAGTGTGGGGACTCACCTGGAGAGACACTCTTCCCTTAAGGCCTGGATTGCAATGCGGGTGATATTCACGGACATCAAACAGAAGGGGAATTGCTGGAATGGAAGTGGTACCAGGTCAGTGGCAACCTGGGTCTTGCCTTCTGTGTTTCCCATCTTCTACAACAGCTATAGCCCAGAGGCAGCAGTGATATTATGGGTGCTTACACTTAATTTTCACGATGATCTTCCCATCTTACAGATGAAGACACTGAGGCTCAGAAACCTTAAATATCTTTCTTAAGGCCGTGGAACCAGGATTCCAACTGAGCTGATTCACTGCAAAGCTGGTTTGCATAGCTCCTGGGAGAGTTCTCCTGCCTCTTCAATATCCCGACCCATTAGCTCTCCTAGGCCAGCAGACCTATCTGTGTGCCACCCATGGACCGCATCGCCCCCTGGGGTTAGGCTGAATACCAGAGGAGTGAGGCCCAGGTATCTTACTATGTAGGATCTTAAAATTACTTCCCCCATCTCTGGGCTTCTGGTTATTTGCTCATAAGAACTTCATCCAGAGTCAGAGAAGGTGCAAGGAGGTAGAAAGTCAGCCATGACTTGCTCGCACATGCCCTCTCTCACAGAGGCCTCAGAACTGGCTGTGAGGCCAAACTCCCGGGAGGGGGCAGCATGGAGTCCAGCTGGGGCGCTTCACCAGGATGGGCCTCTGGATCCCCTGTGGGGGGCCACTTCAGTGTTTTATTTTTGGAGGAGCAAATTCCTTCCTGTTTAATAACAAACTACCAAGCAAATGAAAAGCTTTTTGCATATTATGTGTTAGTTTCCACTGTTGCGCACCGATGAGGACATCCTCTGAGAGGGACACAGATGGGTGCATTCCTTAGTTTAGAGCAGGAGGCAAAGTCTGTTTATCCCATCTACTTCCCCTGAGACGAAAACTCATTACATTATGATGGACTGTGCTGCCCACTATGGTAGCAAGCAGCCACATGTGCCTATTTAAATTAAATTAATTGAAAATTATGTAAAATTTAAAGTGCATCGCTAGTCATCCTAGCACTATTTCAGGTGCTCAATAGCTACATGTGCTTAGTTGCTGTACCGGACAGTGCAGATCTAGAATATTCCCATTACTGCAGAAGCTTCAGTCAGAAAGCACTGACTGAACTGTGCGAGGATCTCTTGGCTCCACAAAGATCTTTCTCAGGGTCTTCCATGGCGCCTCGATCCCAGATCTTGACCTTGCCACCCACTAGCTGTGTGTCCTTAGGAAGACCACCCAAACTCTATGAGACTCAGCTTTCCTATCTCCCAAAATCAAAAAGGAAATAAACTTTAACACAGCAGGCCTGAGATTTCTGTCCTTAGAAAGGACTGCTTACGAGGTTAGCCCCTGGCTAGCATCTGGGAATTTGCATTTTGAGATATTCCCACCATTCCCTCAGGATGACTCACTGTGCCAAATTCTTTGTGCAAATAATACGGTTTGTGTTAAACACCTGCTTTCACTTCTGGAATTCTGCTATGCACTAGTCCAATGGGGCTTGCATGACCAGCCCCCAGTGAAAAACTTAGGTGCTGAATTTCTAATGAGCTCCCCTGGTTGGCACCATTTCACATACTGCACAATGCAATGCTGGAGGAACAGAGTGTGCCCAGTGTGGGTCCCCTGCGAGAGGACTCTTGGAAAGCTTGTACCTGGTTTCCCAAGGATTTTGCCCCACGCACTTCTCTCCTTTGTTGATTTTGCTTTGGCTTTACTAAATCATAGCTGCAAGTCCCCCCAGTGAATCAGAACCTGAGGGTTTCTAGGGACCATGACACCCTGACACGGCCATACTGGGTGGAGTCAAGACACTAATCAGTACAAACATTCTATGAGATGATTTTTTAAAGATTTTATTTATTGATTTTTAGAGAAAGGGGAAGGAAGGAAGAGAGGGAGAGAAACATCAATGTGTGGCGGCCTCTCACACACCCCCTGCTGCAGACCTGGCCCGCAGCCCTGGCTCCAGCGGGGAATCACCCTGGCGACCCTTGGGTTCGCAGGCTGGCACTCAGTCCACAGGGCCACACCGGCCAGGGCGAGACAGCTTTTATTATTCATGGTTTGCCTGCTCTATTATCCTACAACCTACCTCACAGAGTTGCTCTAAGGAGTAATTGAGATCACATATTCATAGCTCCAGCCTAAGCAGTTGCTAACAAACATTCCTAATTATTATTTTTGCCTCAATGTGTGTGGCTGAGGTCAGGAGCAACGCATTTATACCTTCACGGTTTGCCTATTTAATTACCCTATATACTTGCATAATATTGCCCCTTCCCTCGATTTGTTTCGGTCTAAAGATAAATATGGGAACAAGAATATGGTAGCAACATATTAACAGAAGATTTAAACCTAGTGTTCATTTAAAGCCCACTTATTAAAAAGCAGTGAAAAACTGGAATTCAGATTTAAGTATCTCCTTTCCTTCAGCAGTTCCCTTGGATCTGAAAAGTGTTCCTTTGAGCTAAAATACTACACTGAGGCTGGGTTTAGAGAACTGACTAACAGCAGAAGAAACCAGACCTGGACATTTTGGAGTTTCCATTTACAATTTTACGGCTTCAGCCCTGTCCCCAGTTGAGGGTGTCTGAGAGGCAATGGATGGATGTATCTCTCACACATCGATATTTCTCTCCTTCTCTTCCTTTCTCTCTAAAAGTAAATAAAATCTTAAAAAAGAAATAAAATAAAATTTTACTTCTCTTCATGCCTCATGTTTGGACTTAAACACCTTTAAATACTGAAGAAGAAGACCAAATCGTCTTTGGTGGCTGCCACTGACATGGCCCCGTCCCTGGAGCTTCTGATTCGGGAGAACAGGGAAGGGTCCTGGGCACCTGCACCCCTCGGGCGTCTCCGAAGTGTGTTGCTGGCTGAGAACTGCTGCTGTAAGGAGCCTGCCCACTAGCTGTCAGGAGATGCGGGTCCCAGGCCCAGCTTCACCACTTACTAGCTACCCAGCTTTGTGCAGAAATACTTTACTTTTCTGGTCCTCACACTCCTTCACTGTGAAAAGGAGATTTACAAGGGTCATCTCTGCCCTACCTCTGTGTAGGCTTGTCATGCTGATGCAATGAAATGGATGGACATTGCACGGAAGGCTATACACATCGCTGCGTGTGAGTACGACAGGGCGCATCCTTGCATGCCTGCATCCATCTCTCAGTGTCTGCTGCAGCGCTCCTTCACAGGACAGCGTGGGATAAGCACTTCCACAATGCCTGGACTCATGGGGGTTCTGGGCTCCATTCCCCCAGCATTTTTAGTTTTGGGCCAATTCCCCTTTAGGAGGATGGACCACACAGGTACTGAAACTTTTCTCTCTCCCCTTTGGAGAGAACCAGGACTGGCTGTTGGCAGGGCTGTCCCCCGCCGGCTGTTACTCTGCTCTCATACTTGCCTCCTAGAAAACTCTGTGTTTTCAAGATTCATAGGCTCTTTTTTTTTTTTGAAACCAAAAAACATTTTATTTTAAAAAAATCTGTTAAGACTGATAAACTACAAGCTAGACTGAGTGAGGAAGAGAGTGGACACAAATCACCAGTATTGGGAGTGAACAAGGGCATATCACTGCAGAACCTGAAGACCTTAAAAGGATATTAAGAAAATATTGTGAACAACTTTATGCTAATATATTCGACAACTTAAGTAAAATAGGCACATTCCTTTTGAAAAAAATTACCATAACTGGCTCAAGAAGAAATAGAAAACTTGAATAAAGTTTTTGTTTGTACTTAAAGATATTCCCATAAAGATGCCCTGGCTGGTGTGGCTCAGAGGACTGAGTGCCAACCTGTGAACCAAAGGGTTGCCAGTTCAGATTCCCAGTCAGGGCACATGCCTGGGTTGCAGGCCAGGGGCCCGGCCCAGTAGGGGGCACACAAGAGGCAACTGCACATTGATGTTTCTCTCCCTCTCTTTCTCCCTCCCTTCCCCTGTCTAAAAATAAATTTAAAAAATCTTAAAAAAAGATATTCCCATAAAGAAAAGTTTTAACAATTCCTCTGCTCCTTTGTATCAGAACCCATCTGTTTCTGTCTTTTAAGCAGGGGTAAGATTCATAGGCTCCTGAGATCAAGTTTTATTTTAAAACCTTGGAATTTCTAATAGTTAAAGGAATCATATATTAAAAAAAAAAAAAAGGCTGAACAGGATCTTAGAATTACTTAGGCCAAATCCCTTAGTTCATTAAACAACAACCTGAGGCCTAGAGAGGTTCAGAGATTTGCCTCAAATCACAGCTAAATGATACCTACACCAGCCCTCTTATTTATTAAGCTACTGTTTCTTCCTATTTTCTGACATGCATACAAGAGTACTGTGGAATAAATATAAATCCCCAGGAAATTCCACAAAGGCCAGTCAGCGAAGGGATGAACAGCGTGGTTAAAGTGGTCAGCCTGGGTCTGTGAAGAACAAGTACCCAGTGCTTCCTCTCTCATCTTGCTGTTCCCTCTGCCTGGAACACCCCTCCCGTGTTTGCAGTGTTGGTACCCTCACCTCATTCAAGCCTGCCCTTGAAAACAAATGAGGGATTCGGAGTTGGGAATAACCCTCTGCTCTGGCTTCCATATTTCTGCAGGAAGGCCTTATAGGACTCTTCGTATATCACAAGAAGGGAGAAACTGAGATCAGAGATGATTTACAGGAAATCATTAGCTGTGGGACCGTGGGCAAGCCATTTTTCCCTCTTGGAGTCTCCATTTCCCTACCTCTAAACGAGGGCCAGACCAGTGATGGATAAGATACTCCTCAACCCCGGCGAGTCTGTTGTGACAGATCGGTGTCAGTGCAAGAGGCCGCATTGTTTCATAAGCTAACTGGTCGAGTTCTCAGACCTGACCCGGACGGGAGCTCCCGGAATCATGAGGGCCACAGAATATGCCCGCGTTCGTGGCGTTAGGGGCCCGCTGTACCTCAAGGCCAGGTATTCATGAAGTCCCACTCCTGCCTCTGCCGGTGTCTCCTGCGATACACGGGCATATGTGAAGCCTTAAGATTCAATGAGTAGTTTTTCCCCAAACGATAGAGATATATAGTAAACATTATAAATTTTAAAATGTCCAGGTGGCAGGAACTGTATACTTATTTGTTTTATAGTCAAGGAGTTTTGGATTCAAAGGTCCTACCTTACTAAAGTTGTGTGTCATGCAACTTTATTTCATGTATTTCATTGATTTAAAAAACATAAGATATATTTATGTATTATACATAAGATGTAAGAAATGTATTTTTACTTGTGGAGATTACGCTAGTTTAATAAGTAACATTCACTAAGTGACTAATGTGCTTGGCACTTTCCATAGCTTATCTTCAATTTGGAATAATTTTACAGGGTTGGAGTTACATTCATGTTACAAAGGGAAAAAAACTGAGGTCCTCAGACTTAAGGATTAATATGGTCAACAACACTTTTTGCAACTCAGGCCTGCCCAACTCTCGCCTCCTAAGATAAAACGATCTGATTTAAATCTGCAGGCCTGATCTTCAGCCACATATTCGCGGGCTCCTCTCTCTCAGGCAGCATGAAAGCACACCGCCTTCCTGTTTCTGCAACAGGCTACAGAGACCTCTCCTATGAGAGTCGGTGGTGAACCTGTGACACACACATAAAATAAGCTGTCCACTGAGAGGGCCTAGAAGCAGCAAGATCTTAAGAGCAGTGAGAATTCCTGGCGCTCAGATCCTGGATTCTGAACATCGTCCTCCAATTAAAGGAACAAGAGCTCCTTGGAGAAGTGGCTGATCCCAGGGCTGGGAATTATTCAGGGCAAATACAAGATAAACCTAGATCATCTTTTGGCATCCAGAAAGTAGAAGTTCTCAGAAAAGGATAGGGCATGGTGAAAGGGCACAGGCGCCACACAGAAAGAACGCTCAACGTGGCAAAGATGGAACAATTTGAGCAACAAAATGAATGATAATGTTGAGTTATAACTCAAAGGATAAGAAAAATATCCATGAGTCCACACTGATATAAAAAGTAACTGAATAATAGAGGAGCACAAACAATTCTTCTTACAAACTTTATTAATTCTTACAGAATTAATAAATGTAGGAGGAATGAAGGAAACAGAAAATCACCATTATAATAAAGTTTGAGAAGAAACAGGATATTGGCATAGTCTCAAATTATCTTCCTCAATGTAGTTATTAATTACAAAGGGGGGAGAAACAGTAACTTCACAGTGGAGACCCAGCAGATGCCATATATCCACATAATCAAGGTCAGCCTCCCCAGCAGTAAGACATGTTGACATCATGTGCTCCTAACGCGAGGCATGGAGAAGGGCACGTGGCGTCTGTGGTGTTCTTATCAAAAATGCCGAAACCTGAATCTAACATTTATACGGCAAACTGAACCCTCCAACTTGCTCTTACCTTTCCATTACAGTTGATGGCCACTCTGTCTTTCCAGTTGCTCAAACTAAAAATCATCATCGACTCCTCCCTTTTTTTTACACCCATATCCAATCCATCAGAAAACTATGCTGGCTCTACTCTCGTAAGCCCGTACGCTGGAGAATCTATACCTAGCAAATGACCATTTTACACCACCTCCTCACAAGATACTCTGCTCCAAACCACCATCATCTCTTACTTGATTATTACGTCCTAGAATGGTGATTTTCAACCTTTTGCGTCTCATGGCATACATAAACTAATTACTAAAATTCTGTGGCACACCAAAAAAATGTATTTTTTGGCACCAAAACAAAAAAGTATCGTTTGACCGTTTGATTCATTCACACTCGACGGCTATTGTTGTGTTGACTGTTACCATTTTTTAAATTTGACAACCTAAGGGAAAAGAGGTCAGTGCCCCTGACTAAATAGTCAGATACAGCATGTTTTAAAAATTCCTGCAGTACATCCGTGTACTTCTTGTGGCACACTGGTTGAAAATCACTGCCCTAGACTATTCTCAACCTGACAGAGTAGGATCCATTTAAAAATTTCAAGTTGAATCATGTATCCAGGCTGCTGAAAACCCTTATTTTGTTTAGAGTAAAATCCAAAGTCCTTATACTGACCAGGCGCTACGCCATCTGGTCCCTATTACACTATGGCCTCCTTTCCTACTGCCCCCCCCATCCTCCTTCCACTGCTGCGCACTTCCCTGAGACTCCTTCCCAGGCTGCGCACACTCTCTCCTCGGGCCCTGTGCTGTAGCTGCCCGCGCTGCGTGGAATAAATGCTCTTCCCGCAGAAAGCAGCTTGGCTAACATCCTCTCCTCTTCAAGGCTTGTTTTAAGCCTTGCCCTCTCATGGAAGCCACCTTGACCACGCCATGAAATACTATAACCCCTCCCCACATTCTCCAAGCTTTACCCCACTCGTGCTTTTTACCTTAGCACTTATCATCTAACATACCCTATGATTTCTGTATGTATTACGCTTACTGTCCTCTTTTCTCTGCTAGAAGCATCTTTGTCTCTTTTGCTCACTGATGTATCTCAGGCATGAAGAACGATAACTAGCACAGGAGATGCTGAGTAAGTGTTTATTTAGTGAATGAATTCCAGGTCCCACAAATCTGGGATAGATGAATGGCAAGAAACAGGTCATTTTTAAAATGGAGGGACTACCACCTTTTACTCACTGTGAAAACTATCAAACCCAATCCCAGAGAGGAGGTGGGGACAGAGACCTAGGCCTACAGGAGCCACTTCTGGCCTGTAGGTCCATGTATCACATGACCCTTGGAGGTAAACCTTCTCTGGGGCACACAAAAGCCAACTCTCCCCCTTCAGGCTCAGGGATTTCCTCTGGGAATCGAGGCGATGCTTGAGACACATGCCAAAGAGTGGTGGAGCTCAGAGTCTAGCACTGACAGGGAAAGACCATTCCCGCTTCGCCTCAGCTGTCCCAAGAGCCCTCAGCAATAAGAGATATCTACCTGTGAGGCCCGGCTGGCTGCTCAGAAGAGTCCTGTGCCCAAGTCTTAGCTCCCCAGCCCTCTCTGCTGGCTTCACACTAAAGCCCCACCTGGATGTGGTGACGAGACAGGCGGAAAATCTCCTGGGCCATCAGCAAGGTCTTTGAGTCCATCACCAGGTATAGCAGATGCAGGAGGGCAAGGAAGCCTGCTCCTCTCAGGTCTGTGGCTGGATTTGCTCCTATAACAGAAACCACAAGGGAACTGAGGGTGATGGGGAGCAATATTTAATGAAATTCCTGTTCTCGTGGGCTTCGATGACTTAGTTATAGGCCCAGCGGAGAGTCTAGACTTCCTCTGACTGACTAACCAGACAACCTTAGTGGGGCAGTCAGAAAAGTGAGGCTTTTATCCTTTCCCGGTGCTGAGGAGCCCCCCATTCCTCTGGGGGAATCAACGGAAGTGAAGTGGATGTCAGTGGAGGCTACGTGGGAACAGTAATGAGGCACCCCTGCCCTTCTAGCCAGTGGTGTTAGTGGATGCCAAGTGGGGTGACTGGGTTTCCACCCCCACATGGCAGTACTGAGGTGACATGCCCCTTCCCCTACTGGCTCAGGATCAGAGAAGTCTTGCTAAACCAGAAGTTTTAAAAGAAGATCTGGAGTGTCATTACACAATATCCAAAATGTCCAGGACACTTGTTACACAAAGAACTAGGAAAATCTCAATTTGGATGAATGAAGACAATCAGTAGATAGCAACACTGAGAGAACAAAGAGGTCTGAATTATGTGAAAAGGATTTTAAAGCAACTGCTGTTGACAGAATGAATGATGGCTCCTCCAAAGACGTCGCTGTCCTAAGCTCCAGAACATATATATGTAATGTTGCAGGGCAAGGGGCAATTAGGATTGCAGGTAGAATTAAGGTTGCCCATTAGCAGCTTAGAAAAGTATCCTGGATTATCTGGGTGGGCCCAATGTAAAAAGTGAAAGAGGGAGGCAGAAACACAAAGATCTGAGAACGGATTCAGGTTCAGAGAAATGCTCCGGAGCAGGAATGCAGGCAGCCTCTAGAAGGGGAAAAAGGCAAGGAAACAGCTTCTTCCCTGAAGCTCCCCAGAAGGATGCAGCTCTGCTGCCATCCTGATATTACTCCAGTGAGACCTGAGTCAGACTTCTGAACTACAGAACTAATCAATCTGTGTTGTTAAAGCTACTGAACTTGGGATAATTTGTTGCAGCAACAACAGAAAACTACCAAGGCAGCTATCATAAAAATGCCTTTGATAAATAATTACTAACCCACCTAGAAAACAAATGAAAAAAATAGAGTCTCAGTAAAGAAATATCAGATATAAAGAACCAAATAGAAACTTTAGAACTAAAAGAAATAATTAAAATTAAAAACTCACTGGATGTGCTCAACAGCAGAATATATGTAACAGGAAAGAATCAGTGACCTTGAACATGGAAAAATATAAATTACCCATTCTGAACAAAAGAGAGAAAAAAACAAAAGAAAATGAACAGCGTCTTGGAGACCTATGAGCTATAACAGAGATTAAAATAAAAACAAACAACAGAGCCTGTGGGATCTTTGCAACAATAACAAAGACCCAGCATTTGTGTTATCGGAGTCCCACACGAGTGTGGGGCTGAAAAGTCTTCAAAGTAATAATGGCAAAAGACATAAACCTACAGATTCAACAAGCTGAGCAAACCCCAAAAGGAATAAGCCCAAAGAAATCCACACCAAGACCCATCATAATCAAACTAAAGACTAAAAAAATGAATAAAAATAAAATAAAATAAAATAAAATAAAATAAAATAAAATCTTGACAACAGAAAGAGAGAAAAACATCTCTTTAACCGGCAGGGAGAAATCATTCAAATGACAGCAACTTTCTCATCAGAAACCATTAAGACCAGAAAGAAGTAGCACATTTTTCTAGTGCTGAACAAGAATTGTCAACCTGGAATTCTATATCCAGGGAATTTACCCTTTAGGAATAAAGGGGCAATCAAGTCATTCTCAGATGAAGGAAAATGAAGAGAATTTACTGCCAGTAGACCTACATAAGAAAATGGCTAAAGGATGTTTTTGAAACAGAAAGGAAATGATAAAAGAATGAATCTTGAAATATCAGATAGGAAGAAAGAACAATGGAAAGAATAAATACATGGGTAAATACAACGGATTCTGCTCCTCTTGAGATTTTTAAATGTTTAATGATTGAAACAAAAATCAAACACTCATGTGATTTTCAATGTATACAGAGGAAATATTCAAGACAATTATAGATGAGGGAGGATAAAGGGACTTAAAACATGTTGTCAATACCAATAGACTATCCATTCCAACAGACTGTCCATTAATTATGGATATCTCAAGTTTTCTTTTTTTAAATTAAGATATTTTCCTATTCTATACAAGTATGATTTGATGATTTTGAAAAAAGTGTAGCACAATCCAAAGCCAAGTCATTTTGTTTCACTCAAAAACAAAATTTTCATCCATATTCACGGAAGAGAGTTAAAAAACTAGATTTTAAATCCTATCAGTCCAATGGTTTCCAGCTCACTTAGAGTAAGTGTTTTGCAATGTTCTGCAAGGCCACAGTGACCTTTTCTCCTGTTACTCTCTTCTCCACTTCAGCCACACTACTTCTCAGAGTTTAGCACGCTCCATGTCAAGGCCTTTGCATTTGCTCTACCCTCTTCCTGGATGCTTTCCCTCAAATAACCCGTCTCATGGAGCTGGCATGACAGGAAGAGGCCTGCCTGGGCTCTCACTCTAGTCCTAGAATCAGGGGTACGGGAAAAGAAGGTGAACCATTCCTCTCTCTTACCCTGAAAGCCCAGGTCTTCCCAGTGATCTCCGAGGAGGGCACAGTCAAACTTGGAGCCCGTCAGCTTCTTGTAGATGGTCTGGAGGACTCGGCCATGCACTGGGTCTTGGCTATCCAGGCCACCTGCCCCAAGACACACCCATGCTCTCTGTCAGACTGCCCTTGAGGGAAGACTGAGTGCTTCTCAAGATAGATCCAGACTGTACTCAAGACACCCTGTTCTCCCCGATATTTACCCCTCAGTTCCTGCTCCCCACGCCAACACGGAATATGCAAGACCCTTGAGTGAGGCTTAGTAGCAGGGTGGGCAAACAGTGCTCTCTGCCTGACCTCACCAGGGCACTCACACTGAGCAATGGTGAGGACCAAGTCCCTTTCTTCACGGAGGCCCTGGTGGAGCTTTGGAGGCCCGAAGAGGAAGTGCCGAAGGGCAGCAAGCCCAGTCCTTCGAATTGTTGGCTGGATTCTTTTCTGGGGAGAAAGTTGCAGGTAATGGGCAGCATGCTGGGTTCACCTGCTTTGATGAACTTATCATCAGGCTGAGTACAGAGACCGTTCTTGCAGAAGGAAGTAGTTCCCCTAATGAAGTGGCTGGTCTCTGGGCCAGGGAAGGCAGGCAGAAGGGGTGAGGCATCTGTGTAATCTCTGGACACAGGCTCTCCCAGCTGCCAGGTTCTTTGTAAACAGGAAGAGAGGTCCCCACGCATAGGCCTTATCAGTCAGTTGTCTACGCTTGATCCTTCAGGCTTTTCCAGAACTAGCTATTCCACTGACTGTCAAGGAGACTAGAGAGGGCTGGCTGCGCGGACTCCCCGAGGTGGTCCACAAACACCGGACCAGGTTTCCCAGCAGGGCTCCTTCTATGTAGCCCTAGGATGTCTGTCTGTCTCTCTCTCTCCCCCCACAAAGGACGTAATTTATAAAATCTAGCAGTACTCTCAAATTCCAGGATGAGACAACCGGTGGGGATGGGAGTTTAGTGGAGACCTCTTTTTGGAGCTACATACTTCTTAGGGGTAGCTAGAGCCTCTGCTGCTACTACCGCCAGCACTTCCTAAACCAGGTCATGCTGACTTCTCATTGCTCAGGGCCACTGCCCCCGGCCTTCGAACAAACTGACTGGGGTGTCTTCTGGCAACCTGACTCCTGTCTTTCCAGCCTCTCTCTTGGGCCAGGTTCTAGGCAGAAGATCTGAAGCCATATTCCTCCAAATTTACTACTGGTCACTCAAGATGCCTCAGAAAGCTTGCCAGCTGTTATTCTCAATATTCTTTCTTTTCTCAATCCCACATACTTTTTAAAATTCCCAGACAGCTTCTGATACCTTGAGGGAATGGAAGATTTTCTTACATTAGCCACAAATTACTCAGCTCTCCAGACAGTCTGCCTTGCTCCCCCAAGGAATTACCTAGCATTTGATTCCAGACCTCCCCATCCCTAAGATGGAAGGGCAGGGAGCAGCACCATGGACCTCTGTGTGACAGGGTCACAGAAGCTCTGGGGCACAGTACCAGAAAGGCCACCGGGGCTCTGCATGAAGCATGGGTCTTTGGCAACCATGACCCTGTGCCCAAGACTTTGTGTGTGTGTGAGATAGGGCCTTCAACTGGAAGCTTCCATCTTGCTTGCCCAGTGTCCTTTCCTTGTAGGACAGAAACCTCGCTCCTGGGAAGAAGGTGCTTTGCTTGGGATCCCAAACCTCCCTACTGTCCTACCTTGAAGGAGGAGAGGTCAGCAGTCTGGAAATGCTGCAGGGCCTCACTGAAGGAGATAAGCTGCCCAGGCTGCTTTGAGTTGGCCTGGCGCCCTGTGGCAAATGGAAGAGGAAGACACCCCAGCATTTACATCAGTTGTAGTTCTGTCAGCCAACATTTATTGAGGCCTGTCAGTTGTCACCTCTAAGCCCAGAACTGACTTCTAGCTGTAATCATCAGATGCTCAAAACTAGTACAACTAACCCTCTTTCAAGGGGCTGGCATCATCTGCTGGGCCAGTCCCCCTTTCAGACTGGGCTGTTCAGAGGCTTACAAGCCGACCTATGCCGTGAGTAGGGACAGATCTTTCCCTCTGGGGCTCCCGAACTTTTATTCATCTGTGAGGCGGCAAGTCACCGACTAGAGTAGGAACCCACAAAAGGACATGCCAAAGGTTTGCTTAGGGGTCTTTCCTAATTTATATTCTGGACCTTCTCACACCCTATATATGAATGACTCCCTCTTCATCCTTTGTTCCAGTCCACAGGGAATTAACTTCCCAGTTAACAGTAACATCTCTCCAGGAGCTCAAGCGGAGCTCAGGCTACATGTGGGTCCTAGTTCTGCTTCCCTATAGCTTTCGGAGAGGGATGGAAGACCGTTTTTTACCAAGCCCTTTGAGCCTTCCAGCAGATGGCTTCAGTCCCCAACTCCAGGGACTTCCTTGCACAGTGGACAACCTGCTCGACCTTACGCAGGGGCCCCGGTGCCTGCCTCTACTCTCCCGGCTAACCTCATCACCCTGCAGAGGCAGACCTTGACTAAGGTCTTCTCTGTCTTCTCTGAGCCCTTTCCCCATGGCATTCATTCCCATTTCCTCTAGAATGTCATCTTTGGATTTGAAAAGGAGGTTTTATTCTATGTCACATAACTACAATAAGACCACCCAGGAATTCTGTCTCCTAATCCCAGAGTCACAGAGACATTAGCCTCACATGTGAGATGGCGCCTTTACATGTCTGCTTATTATTATAAGATGGCTGCTTATTCTTGCAATTACCTGTCTCTGGCTGGACGTTGTCCACGGCTTCCCATTCTCCTTGGGCTCTGAGCACCTCTGTGCTCACAACTGCAACGGTGAGAAAAGGAGACCCTCTGAGATCTAGGTAGTCTGGATCACCCTCAGCCCCCAGCCTTATCTGCCTGCCTTGGGCCTTGTTGCCCTCAGGTACCCTCCTCACACGGCTGCCAGAATGAGCTTTGAAAAAGCCTAATGTCCCACCTGGTCAAAGCCCTTTAACTCTCACGGTAAAAGCCAACTGCTCAGCATAGCATCTAGGCACCTTCACAATGAGGACCCTCAGTACCTCTCTAGCTCTGCCCTGGGACACAAGGAACTACCCAAAGTTTCTCTATAGTTCCCACCTTCAGTGCCGTGGCACAGACTGCCCTCCCTCTACTGAGTCAGCACCCCAGGTTCCAACCCCTCGGGCGTAGCTTCTCATCCTTCATTTAGTTCTGATCATCGCCCTCACCTGGATGCCTCGTCCCAGTGTTGTGACCATCTTTCCCTCTGCACCGGGAGCCCCATGAGGGCAGGGTTCTCCAGAACCTAGCACAGTGTCTGACACATGACACATGTTCAACAAACATGTGGTGAATGAATAAAAGCACAATAAAAGGGGGAAAGCAGAGGGACAAAAAGCAGCAGGCTAGGCTCTCTATAGCCACTACTCAGCCCTCATCTCCAAAGCACAGGTGTCGTTCTCTAGCCCAAATTGTTAGTGGCTGTCCTGTCCCTGGCTTTTCCCATTTGCTGGGGAGGACATTAACAAATAGTGGAGAGGATGAGGAGGCTTCAGTTAAATATCCAAATCGCAATCCCTCCAGCCTCAGTGGTAATAGCAGTTTAGAGCTGTTCCTCTCTGCCTTCAACTCTTGGCTGAGGACATCCCACGACAAAAAACTGTTTTGAAAGTATACTAGCAAATTAAATAAAATTCTACCCAAAACTCAAAACACTAGTGGATAATGAGGAAGACAGGGTTTCTAGGAAACAGTAGAGGATGGTTGCTAAAAGCACACTCTAGAGCCTATTGCTTGCGCATGTTTTCATCTCCACCACTTACTAGCTGTTTTCCTGTGGGCAGGTTACTTAACCATCTATAATCACTCATGGGACTACTGTAAGGATGATGTAACTCTTCAACATCTTAGGGGGCCATGTGGCCCAAAGATAAGCGATCCATACATATTAGCTAGTGTTATGGACACAGTTGTGGGCTTGGGTCCAGCAGGGCAGTGAATAGAGGGGACAGATGAGATAAGTCCAGGGTCCTGAATGTCTGGACCTCTGGGAAAGTCAATCTTGCTAGGCCCAAATTCTGGGCTGGGCACCAGACACAGAGCCTCAGGGCTTTCAAGCTGGATAACTTCAACAGAATACAGAACACTCGACCATGGATGGTAAAACAGACAGACAGACAAACAAAACTTGTTCCAGCATTCTGGACCCTTGGGAAATAAAAATGAGGGACAAAGTGGCTGAAGAAGAGTGGAACAGTAGCAGTGAATGCTCATTATGATGCTGAAGAGGGGCTCTTCACCCTTCATCCCTCACCCACACCCAGGTTTACTGACTCTTTACCCTTCAGATCCTCCTGACAAGCAACTTGACCAGTCTTTGACCACACACCCTTACCAACAACTTGATCAAAGGTTGTGATCAAGGAGCAAAAACCTCACCAGCAAGGGTATGGGAATTTGCTGTGACAGCAGATTAGTCAACAGAAAGTCCACTTCTCAACCTAGAAACTGCAATCTGGTGCCTATAAACTGGAGACAAATATCCAAACCATGTAAGAGTATCTCTTTCCTTCCCTTTTGGAACCAGGCAGACTCCTTCTTCATCTGAAGATGATGCTTATATGAATACTAATTTCCCCGTAATAGGAGAATACAGAGGCAACACAGAAATCTTCGGGATAATAAACGCAGCTCACTTTAGGTATGGTTGTCTTTTTTCCTTTTTCAAATGCCTCTTTATTTGCACTCTCTTCTATTTATATAGTAAAAAGCATTGCTGATTTAGTCAGCCTACTATTTTAAATGAGCTGAGAGCAATCTCAAAATAAATTATAATTGTTTAATACAATTAAAAATATCTGTCACATGATGCCAGTTGTACTGACATATAAAATATTTTGGCATTTAGCCCTAGCTGGTGTGGCTCACCAGCCGACCTGCAAACCAAAGGGTTACCAGTTTGATTCCCAGTCAGGGCACATGCCTGGATTGCAGGCCAGGTCCCCAGTAGGGGGCGTGTGAGAGGCAACCACACATTGATGTTTCTCTCCCTTTCTCCCTTCCTTCCTTTCTCTAAAAAAATAGAAAAATAAGTAACATCTTTAAAAAAATGTTGGCATTTAAGGTAAAAAATCTCTAACAAATGTCAGGTTTGTCACAACACAGTAAAAACAAAAAATATTATTAAAAGACATTTCATCAAACTCCAAATAATTTTTCTACCTTGGAGTATTTTTAATAAGCCTCATATTTTGGAGATTACATTTTCAGTTTGCAAGCTCTCACTGTGATTTACATTCTGTGTGCTAAGCACTTTACATTACCTCATTAAATCCTTATCAAATCCCCATCATACTTACTCTGATACATTCCTGTTCTATAGATGATAAAAGTGAGGGTTAGAAAGGTCATGTAACTTGCTTAAGCTCATGTAGCTGGTGGGTGAGACAACAAATATTTAAATCAAAGCTATTTGACTCCAGAACTGGTGCTTTGGAATTGGTCACTGTGCCCTTCTGTGCAATGAGCTTTAAATATAGTAATACAGGAAAGAACCATGTAAAGCAGATAAAATAGGATGCTTTTTCAAAGCCTTTTTGCATACACTATCTTATTTCATTATTATAGTATCCTTTTAAGGATAAAAGAGGTATTAAAATTTCTACCATGGGCACAGAAATTACATGATTTGCCCAAAAGTACACAGTAGTAAGTCACTAGCAGGGCTAGTGGAGCTAGATTAAAACTCAGATCTTTTGACCTCCAGTGTTGATTCTAATTTTCCTTGAATAATGATAAATCTGCAAAATTCCATAGGACAAGTAGTGAGAGAAATTCAAATGATGAAAAGCAGATCCATGGGAAGCTCTTGGGACCCACCCTGGCTCCAAGGGCCCCGAAAAAGACCTTACCATCTGGCGCCCATCCATAAGCTTCTGCTGTCAGGGCCCGAAGGATGCTGTGGTTCTTCAGCTGTGAGATCTGTAGGGGCAGTGATCTTTAGTATGAAGGTAGAATTGATGTCCTCCCCATCCACACAAACACATTCCACCCACCGTACTGAATGTCCTTGAAACTGGAGGCCAGAAGGATCTAGTCAACCCTGATGGGTTGATTAAAGCCAATCTTAAAGAGAGGCACCTGAAAAACTCCAACTATAATGTAGAAGTTGGGTGATGTCGGGATAAGTATATGCCTCCCATGAATAGTAAACAAACAAAAATTCACACAACTCAGCTGCCACTGTGGTATCCCTTTGCTATTCCCACTGCTCTTCATATTCTATTTCACTAGAGCAATAATCTTATTAGACAGAGCTTGTTTTGCTTGTTTGTGCCCACATGCCTTCCCCTGGGTGTGAGCTCTTGGAGGGAAGGGTCTATGCCATCCTGTGTTATGTGTTTCTGGAACCACACAGCAGCATGCAACAAAAACTTGTATTGGCAGGAGGTACTACGATGTGGGCAATATGTACAGGAGTTTCTCTGAAAGCCAGAAGAGCACTGTTGTCCTCGTCATATGGTGGAGAGTACCCAGCAGACACACTTTCAACCTGAAAGACAAACCAGAGTCGGTCTCCTGGGTGCATGTCAGTCCCCAAAGACAATAGCTTAAATGTCACACCTTTTCCCAGCACCGCGCACACACACAAATTGATAAACTCCAAAGACATTAACTACAAGGAATACTATAAGGGAAAGCTATTTAATCTAGGTATAAAAATTGCAAAAAGCTGAGTTAATGTTATCTCAAAATTCTTATATAGATATATAGATTGCTTGGCTCTGTTAAAGGTCTCAGGGCTCTGAGTAAATGAAGTTCAGAGAGACAGTTCCCTCACTTTTGGCCTTTCTGTTCAGCCAAACCTGTCCCCTATTAGAGCTTGAAAAAAAATCACCTGACCAGCTTTTTGCAACTTATATCACTGATACAGGGCCAATTTACTTAATATGTTAAAAACCAGTCCTACAAGCCAGTAAGGAAAAAAAAAAACCAGTAGAAAAACAGATATAGATATGGGCAGTTCACACAATAGGAAATACAAATAGTTCTTAAACATGAAAAGATGTTCAACCTTATTCATGATAAGAAAAATGTCAAATAAAACTACTCTTAGTATTTTTCATTTAGCATAGTATCAAAGATCAAACACTGGAGAACAAATTAGTATCACCTCTATAGCTTGATAATACATGACAAAATCATGTTTTGTACATTTTGGGCCTGCAGTTGCATTCTAGGATTCATCTAACAGATATATTATTCATGTGCAAAATGAAATGTTTACAGTGTCATTCACGGCATTGTTTATAATAGCAAAATGATAAAAAAATATAAATGTCCACTAATGAATCAAAGCTCCACGTTCTCTTGATATATGCTCTTATTATTATGAATGATATATCCCAAACTGACACCGTTTTTTTTCCCCAAAGAGAAGTGCTTCCTTACCTGTCCACTTAATTCTTTCTCATTATGGAAAGAGCAAGATTTTTCATTCATGACTCAAAATCATTTGTTCGAGTGAGCTTTGTCCTTGGGTGCAGAAAGGAGTTTAATAAGATCTGAGATTAGAAGCTATGGGGAGAGCCAGAGATCCAACTGTTCTACCTTTGCCTTCCTTCTTGGCAGTCATTCAGACATAGAGCAAGAAAACAGTCCCTATGTGTCATCACCAGGGTGCAGGAGGTTTCTGTGAGTACTGAAAGAAGTCCCTGAGGTCTTTGAGGCCTTGGCCCTGTAAAAATAAATAAATAAATAAAAAGAAAACTGGTTTCATCATTCAGTTATGCCTCTGTGAGAAAAACTGACTTTAAAAATCTTTAAGCAACTTCCAGTAAGATTGGAGGCGTAGGTAAACACAGTCACCTCTTTGCACAACCACAGCAAAAATAACAACTAAATTACAAACTATCACCCAAAACCATCAGAAAATCGAGCTGTATAGAAGTCCAACAACCAAGGAATTAAAGAAGTCACATTCACTCAGAGGGGTAGGAGGGATGGAGATGCAGAGATGCAGAGACGTTGAACAGGCTGGTCCTGCAGCCACATGTGGTGGATAAAAATCAGGAGGGATATCTTGGAAGCGAGGGATCCCAGCCCCACACCAGACCACCCAGCCCAGGGTTCCAGTGCTAGAAAGATAAGTCCCCATAACTTCTGGCTATAAAAACCAGTGGGGGTCGGGGCAGCAGAAGAAACTGTGGGATTCCCAGGCATCTCCTCTTAAAGGGCCCGCAATGAACACAGGATTTACTCAAACTCACTTCCTTCGGGCTCTAGCACTGGGGTGGCAGCCTGAAAGGCACAAGTGGCTCACGGGGAGAAATTAAAGTGTCTGGCATCAGGACAAATGCTGGAGGACAGCTTCCTCCTGGACAAAACTTCAGAGGTCAGGCAGCAGCCATTGTTCCTTTTCCGAGCCCTCCCCAACATAGAGACACAGAGCGGGGGCACCATATCTAAGACTCCATCAACTTGGTTCACATAGGTTGTCCCACCCTGGCGATTACCTAAGGCTCTGCCCCATTCAACTTACTGTATACTTTTCCACATTAGGCCATGTTACTAAGTCAGGGGATCAAAGCAGCTCTATCTAACACATAGAAACAAACACAGGGAGGCTGCCAAAATGAGGAAACAGGAAATACTGCCCAAATGAAAGAACAGAACAAAACTCCAGAAAAGGAACTAACAAAATGGAGACAGATAACCTATCGGATGCAGAGTTCAAAACACTAGTTATTAAGATGTTTAAGGGACTCATTGGGTACATCAACAGCCAAAAAAAGACCCAGGCAGAAATGAAGGGTTACACTAAGTGAAATAAAGAAAAATTTACAGGGAATCAACAGTGGAGTGGATGAAGCTGAGAATCAAATGAATGATTTGGAACATAAGGAAGAAAACAACATTCGATCAGAACAGGAAGAAGAAAAAAGAATTTAAAAAAACGAGGATAGGGTAAAGAGCCTCTGGGACAACTTCAAATCTACCAACATTTGAATCATAGGGGTGCTGGAAGGAGAAGAGAAAAAGAAAGAAATTGAAAACTTATTTGAAAAAATAGTGAAAGAAAACTTCCCTAATTTGGTGAAGGAAATAGACATATACATCCAGAAAGCACAGAGAGTCTCAGATAAGATGGATGCAAAGAGGACCACACCAAGACACATAATTAAAATGCCAATGGTTAAAGATAAACAGACAATCTTTTTTTTTTTTTTTGTAAGTTAGGTGTTCATTTATTAAATACAAGCTTTGAACAAACACCCCCAGGCAAGTTTGACAAGAAAAACAGAGAATCTTAAAAGCTGCAAAAGAAAGGCAGAGAGTTACTTACAAATGAGTTCCCATAAGACAGTCAGCTGATTTCTCAAAAGAAACCTTGCAGGCAAGAAGGGACTGGCTAGAAGTGTTCAAAGTGATGAAAAGCATGGACCTACAACCTAGATTACTCTATCCAGCAAAGGTATCATTTAGAATCAAAGGGCAGATAAAGTGCTTCCCAGACAAGGTAAAGCTAAAAGGTGTTCATCTTCACCAAGCCATTATTATATGAAAGGTTAAAGGGACCTTATTTAAGAAAAAGAAGAGGATCAAAACTATGAACATTAAAACAGCAAAAAATTCACAACTATCAACAACTGAATCTAAAAAGACAAACTAAGCAAAAAGTAGAATAGAAACAGACTCAAAGATATGGATCATTTGGACGGTTACCAGTTGGGAGGAAGAAGGAGGAGAATGGGGGAAAAGGTACTGGGATTAAGAAGTACAACTTGGTAGGTACAGAATAGGCAGGGGGATGTTAAAAACAGCATAGAAATGTAGAAGCCAAAGACATATATGCATGACCCATGGACATGAACTAAGTGGGGGGTGGGGGGTGGACTGCCAGGGAGAACGGGGGTGCTGGGTAGAGAGAGGCAAAGGGGGAAAAATTGGGACAGCTATAATAGCATAATCAATAAAATATATTTTTAAAAAGAAATGATGCTTATAAACCTAAAAGTTAAAAAAAAAATCTTTAAGCAGCTGTAAGTTTATTCTGAATAAATAAGCTGCTTTAGCCAAATGCCTCCCTCTTACTATCCATGCCACTGGATGGAAAGAAGGGGACTCTGCAGGAGTCTGAGCTCCGGATATTTGATATCCAGAAGGTAGCCACACCACTGTAAGTGGTGGGATTCTATTTCTGACAATGAAGTTAATGAGACCTGGGGTAGCTTATCAAGGGGTGAGGCTGATGGGTGATACCTGAGGGGTGGTGTTAGTGAGGTGCTCAGGCTTGGGTCCAGGGGCTTATAGTACTAGATCTGGTTCCTATGATGGTAGAAACTCAAAAATGCAACACAATGCCTAGCTTTCTTCAGTTGTTACCAATATTGTACATGTTACAGCTGCTTGGCCAGTTTGGCTAACTCAGTCTTGCATTCCATGTGAACCTGAGGAAGAGGACCCATATGCCATCATAGGGGAACTGGACTTATGGACGCATCACAACAAAAAGCCAGATCACGATGGACAGATGGCCCCCACGTAATGGTAGCCATATTTCACAGACTAAGGTGACTAAGGAAGGAGGATGTTATCTGTACGAGGTCAGCCCTCTACTGTTGGGAATATGATCTGGATTCCCCAAGAACTGGCTGCCAATAACAAATAGGAATCTGCTGGGGGAGGACACAGTGATTCCTAAAACCAAGAGCAGGAATACCTTCTGCCTCTTGGGCTGAGCATCTGGCTCACTGTAATTCAGAAGGGAGCGCAGTGCCCCTTACTCATGGCACCTAAGGAACCAGCTCTCTCTCATTATGTCCTCTGGGGCTTCAGCATCTGCTTCTCTTTTCCCCCTCCTTCCTGACCTCCATGACAGCATATGACAAAACATTCATACATAAGACAACTGGGGGAAGGTGACAGGCAGGTATGGGAACAGCAATTTCAGGAAGGCCCTTCTCTTGCTGTGCATGAAATGAAGCGGGCAGGGTATAAGCATGAGCAGCTTTACACACCTGCTAGAACCTCTGTTCTGGCGGGAGCACTGCTGGCGTCTTCAATAGTGTCTGGACAGTTACTATCTGTATCAGAGAAAGAAAATAGCCAACACTGTCAACCGAGCAAGTCCGTGAAGTTTCTAAGTCACTCCCACCAATATTTGGCAAGTTTCGCTGAGCGGGACATGAGGAAATGACCTTTCTATGAAGATCGACCCTTTTTAAATGAAATATTTATGATGCATTTACTTTAGGTAAGGGACTTCACTGCGAATATGATTTTCTGACTGCCTGCTGCAGCTTTAACTCTCTGAATAGATATTTAATTTAGAAACTGGATCCATACCTTAAATACAAATGCGCACATAGGTATGGCAGTTCTCTGATCCCTTCATCAGGCTTGTTGCTGGACGGCTCCCATCCCCTCACGGCCCCCACGCAGGGGAGGTGCCACGGGGACCCAGCCAGAGGCCTGGAGACGCCTGCAAGCCCCCGCCGCAGGCAACGCCATTCTGGGAGGGAGGAGCCGCGGCCCACGCTATCGGTCGATTGTGGGGACTACGAGGACAGGGGCTCGTTGGCTGCTACGCGCAGATCTCGAGAGATCTTCATCCAACAAGACAGCCAGCCAGTCAGGGATGTGAGGGAGGTTCGGATGGACAAGTTCTCTCGATACGGTGGGGAAAAATTGAGCAAAGCGACTTGCCTCAGGTCGCTCAGCGAGTCCACGGCCGAGCGCGAACCAGACCCAGGTTTCCGGCCTTCCAGTCGGGGTTCTCTCTCAGTCCTGCAACTCTCAGCCTTTCCCCGCCCCAAGGCCATTATTTGCACCCCACATTCCCCCTCCTTAACGACCTCGGAGCTCGCCCGACGTGTCCCTACACCTCTCAGAGCTTTCCCTCTGCGGTCTCGCCGCCCAGCCAAGCGTCTTTGGCGCATGCGCACCGGTCTTCGCCGACGCAGCTCGGGCCGAAGCTCAGCGGGCCCGCTGAGAACAGTGTTGCTGCCAAGGAACTACGGAGTGCCAGGAGGGTCAAAGTCCGCTGGAGTCGGGGCTTCTGGCCAAAAAGGCTGGGATTGCATAATGGGCACAGCTACCTCCGCCTCCCAGCTGGGCAGGACTAACAGGGTGAAACCACGGCTACAAGGCTGGGATCCCATCGGCGTGATCCCAGTCCTCGGAGAGGCGACATGTGGCTTACACTGGTGCTGCTGGCCGTGCTGCTGCTGGCCGTCTTCCTCAAAGTTTACCTGTGGCTGTTCTCAGGCAGCTCCCCGAATCCCTTCTCCGAGGACGTCAAACGGCCACCAGCACCTCTGGTGATCGACAAGGAGTCCCGAAAGAAGGTCCTCAAACAAGGTCAGCCAACGGTACCTTGGGGTCTGAAGCTGCGTTGCTTTGCGGTTTCTTCCCGGCAGGGCGAGCTGCTGCGGGACCCGGGCCTCAGTTTCTCAGTACGCAAAGAGCTGGGAGGGCTGGAGGCACGTGGAGGCGCCCCGCTTCAGTGTCCGCCACCGACGAGAGCCTTTGCTTGGGCAGGCTGGAGAACAGTGGACCCATTGGCATGGGTACTATCCTCTGTGTGCCAGGGTCTTGGCAAACTCAAGCCCATGCCCTGTCATTTAGTTTTTTATTTTTCATTGTGAGAATTTAATGAACTCCCTTCCGCGTGGTTTCAGGCTACCACCACACAGGTCTCACCATCACTCTTAATCTCCGCAGCTCTTCTGCTGAAGAGCTTGCCCTTCTTCTGAAGAATTTGCCCTTCCCAAATGACAAGCTGCTTTGGGAGCTTTTCCCTTCCCCAGAACTTTGTGGTAGACCCATTGCACCACATCAATGATAGGAGCGGCTCCAGTCTTGTTTTTGGCAGCATTTTTACCCGTGTCTGCTCACTGACCAAGGTCCAGAGTTTATCAAGGTTGACAGTGGAGCAGAAGCTCTGGTTCCTCTTTAAGTGGTGATGCCTCATACCTACTTTCCTGAAGTAACCTGGGTGGTGTTTGTCGAAATTGATCCTGTGAAAATGCAAGCCACTAGCAGAGGGCTCCTGGGTGCTTTCTGTACTTGCCAATGCGGCACAGGCAGCCAGTGGTCATGGCTCACATGACCCTGAAATTTCTGGGTCTTCCTCAGTTTGGATGGCATGTTGGTGGCTGAGATGCAGGAGGGTCCAGACCCTGTTATTTAATATGACAGTGGCTGTTACTCAGCTCAAGGGGTTCGCTGCTTGGGTGTTCTGTTCAAGGATGAGACCTTGCTGTGTCGCAAGGTAGTTTTATTTACTTACAGCTAGTAAAGGAGACGGTACTCCTATCCAAAGCCCTGCTTCACCTCTTCTCTTGACTATAGAGGTCCACACTGTCAGAGTCACCTCCTACCACAATTACAGGTCCCAGTTCCTATCAGCCCTGTAGCTTCTGGACTTCTAGAGAAGATGGGCTGAAAAGGCCTCTCCAGAGCTTGTCCCCCATGTCCCAGGCATGGGAATTGTGAAAGGCAGAGAATAGGCCCAGGATACCTGGTTTACTAGCTTGGCTGACATGCCACAATTCAGACCCACTCTGCCAAAAGAGGTTCTGGGTGATGTGGCCTCCCTGCACCTGTCTCCCTCCCAGCTCACGCTCTAGCAGTGCAGTGTTCGGTTCCTGAACTTCTGCAAGTGCATCTAGCTGTGACGGACACTGGGTTGCTCTACCTGCTGCTTCCACAGCAGGGCAGGTGCCCAGGTCAGCCCATTCCACTGCCAGTCAGCAGACTCCCAGAGCCATAGGGGCCTGCGCCCTGGCTGAGTGGGGCCACTTCCCGAGGAGGAGACACAGCTTAGAAGCACCTAGTGTTGTGAATGCAGAGAACAAGCTCTCTCACCTCTACCTGCCCCACACCCATCCACCCACAGCTTTGGAAGAGAAAGGGGGAGCTCAAAGGCTGCTGTTTAGAAAAGAAGCTGAGGTCTCAGGAGTTTTCTTGACTTGACTGGGCTCTTTCAGAAGGGAATGCATAACTCAGCACCTGCCCAGAGTCAGTGATCTCATCCTTGCAGATGAGTGGACAGGGAACCGGTAAATTACTTTTTAAGACCACTCTAAAATCTTACTTAAAAAAAAAAGCCCCGCTTGGTGTGGCTCGTTGGTTGGGCACCATCCTACAAACTGAAAGGTCACAGGTTTGATTCCCTGTTGGGGCACATGTCTGGGTTGCGGGTTCAGTCCCCAGCTGAGGCATGTGCAAGAGGCAACCGATTGATATTTATCTCCTTCTCTTTTTCCCTCCCTTCCCCTCTCTCCAGAATCAATGAGAAAAAAAATTTTTAAAAAAAAAATCTTACTAGAAAAGCAATTTATTTTCCCGTGTAATTTCCATCTTCTTCTCACGCCATGTGGCTAGGAAGCCCATCCCTACTTCATTTTGTCCAAAAAAGTCCAGTAAAGCTGATTCAAATTACATTTTTTAAAATGTAGTTTTTCAGTACTCTTAGGGTATTTGGTCTCCGTGTTGTTATCACACCTTTGATAAAATCTCTGAAATCACACCCACTTATAGAACATCTCTTTATATCATTGAGGCTCTTTGAAGAGATGTGGCATCTAATTTTTTTCCTCTTACCCTTCAGAGGAAGAAAAGTAATGGGAGTCTTATTCAAATAGCTCATAGATAAAACCAGTAATTCTTTCCATATAGCCCCAAGCATATATCTTTACACCATTAGCCATAGACTAGCCCCTGCATCACACAGCCAAACATTTGCTGCTCACTCTTGCTTGCCCCAGATCGCCTCCGTTGGACACCATGAGCTTCCTTAGTGAAGGTGGTGTGGTCTGTCTAATGGGAACCTCACTGCTGTTCAGGAAACTGCTGGGGTGCTATTCCCATTTCCCATCATGAGCTCCACCCTAGCTGCAGGTGCTCCAGAAAGGGCACTTCTTGGATGAAAGGAAGCAGGGTTGGGGTTGTCAGAGAGAAGCTTGTATGTGGTAATTAAATGTTGAAATCCTAGGAGGCAAATGCACAAAGAATACTAGAGATCATTACCCGAGGATGTCTTATATTGCCCAGTAGGCACTCCTCACCCCCAATTGTTAGACCTAGGTTGGTTCCTGAATCCTGCCTCCCAGAGACAGTTCCTGCCTGACCAACCAGAAACCCAGTGCACACCAGAGCTGAAACTACCGTTCTGACAATTCTCTACCCAAAATGGGTATAGAGGCACTAATTAAAGTGACCACAGGGACTGACCTACCCGCCTCCCTTCTGAAGCAGTCAAGGAAACAGGATCAGGTGGCCACTCCGCTTCACTGTGGGCGCAAGCCAGGCAGCAGATCCGGGAGTCTCCTACGGAACAGACCCTCTGTCCAGTGGAGACGCAGGCCAGTAAGCCCTGGATGGGACGCTCCTGCTGACTGCTGCGCAGAGAGGCCACACCAGGCCCAGAGGGAGTCCCTTTAGGAGAGTTTCATCTGGAATGGCTAAATTTGTTACTGAACTCAGGGGGTTTGCCACTTCAGGTGTTCTATTCAAAAACAAGATGTGGTTATCCCAAGACATGTCTCCTTTAAACTACCATGTGACAACCATGTTTCATTCTTGAATAGAGCACCCCAAGCAGTGAACCCCTTGAGTTTTGTAATGTGGTTAAATTAACAAGAAGCGATAGACAAGAAGGGACGCCTTACTTAGCTCTAGGACCTTAACTTTTTCACTAACCTTTCCACATGCACCCAGGAATGTCGGGGAGCTTCACAGAAATCTCTTTCAACCTGTATAGGAAATTTCATTGTGCCCACTAAGTGATTCAACTGATTATGCCTGGACCCAACTTATACGGTTGAACCCTGGTTTTGAAACTTTGGGAGAGGCTCAACAGGGTGCCTCTGGCTCAGAAACCGCTCTCCCATCAATCAGAGTGCCTTTCCTGTCAACTTTAAAACAAATTTTGGGGTTCCTCCTAAGGTTGAAAAAAAGAGTCCTGGTGCTTTTTTAAAAAATGGATCCCCTGTTTGATCTTGAGGGTCCCTCTCACTTGACAATTTTAGAATTTTGTGTGACATGTCTTGCTTCACAGACCGAGATAACACTACTACTAAGTGGAAGGACTATTAGGCTGAACTTCTGAGATCAAAGTTTTAGCTTGGACTCTGTCCCTAGTTTACCACATCACCATTGGCAAGCCATTCCACTTACCTGGGCTGGTCTAAAAATGAAACGACTCGTTTAACTCTTTGAGACCAAGTTGTGATCTATTAGTGGGACATGAAATCAAGTTAGTGGGTTGCAGCAAGCATGTTCAAATGCAATAAAATAGAAAATATCAAAGTGCACCATACATAGCTCTGGTAAGTATTGTATTATGAATCTTGTATTTCAGTTATTTGTATTCTATACTTACATGTGCTCTGGGTTGTGATATAAAATATATTTTTAACTACAGGTCTTTCTAAAAAACATTTGAAAAGTTAAAAGTTTACCACATTCTCTTACAGCTTGAAAAATTCCGAATCTCATTCTTTGGAAGTGATCTTTAAAGAGCAGAGGTTGTGCTGGAGGTGCCCATAGGGAACCTCCTGCTGTCCAGTGTGTCTTATTTAGGTGCTGCCTCCTCAGCCCTGCCTCCAGACTTCCCCAAAGTGAGGGAGTGGTGCAGTGATTTCTCAGAGTAGCTGCCTCCAAGCAGCTCTGTCCTGCCTAAGCCTTTGCATCTGGATCTTAAAGAGCCATCATACAACCAGGCTGCCCCACTGGTGCTTGCAGACCCTGCATTCTCCAAAGATAACCAACCGGCTTGTGAATGGACGTTCTATGAGCCAGCAGCTCGTGGAAGGAGCCAGCAGCTTGTGGAGTTCTATGAACCAGCAGCTCGTCTCACAACACGATGTTCCTGTCCACCTACTCCTTGTCGCCTTTCTTCCCTAGTTCTCTTTGACTGTGCTTAGGGTTCTCAGCCTGAATTGCTGTCAGCTTTCTGTTTTGTTTTGTTTGTTTTTGTTAAAGATTTTATTTATTTATTTTTAGACAAAGGGGAAGGAAGGGAGAGAGGGAGACAAACATCTTTGTGTGGTTGCCTCTCACGCGCTGCCTTCTGGGGACCTGGCCCGCAACCCAGGCATATGCCCTGATTGAGAATCGACCAGCGACCCTTTGGTTCACAGGCCAGCATTGAATCCACTGAGCCCTACCAGCCAGGGGAGCTTTCTCTTTTTGTTCTTATAATAGTTTGCTTACTCCTGCTGTCTTTGAAAGTAGGGAAATTCCCCATGTACATAGCAACTTTGGTTAAATCAGGTGAGACCAAACCAAATCACTTTGTTTAATTTGTCTGGCTGGTCCTGAGCATTTCCCAAGCAAAATGTGATATTTTCATAAGAAGGTCTGTGCCCGAGGTGTGCTAGAGTTTTCTAGCCTTGTACAAGCTAGAGAGTCATCTTTGGTTTCCCTATCTTTGCTCTTTTGCCGCCCCTGCCTGAGAAGTCCACCCTCCGTCTGTTCCCTCTGCTGCAGCTTTCTCAGTCAGCCGAGTGCCAGAGAAGCTGGATGTGGTGGTAATTGGCAGTGGCTTTGGGGGCTTGGCCGCAGCTGCAGTTCTGGCCAAAGCTGGCAAGCGAGTTCTGGTGCTGGAACAACATACCAAGGCAGGGGGCTGTTGTCATACCTTTGGAAAGGATGGCCTTGAATTTGACACAGGTAAGGTTCATGTGGAAAAGGGTTGGGAGCATGGTTCTATCTCCAGGAGGCGTGGAGCAGCCATTGTGGGATGAAACAGGGCATTTCTGTCGTTCTGGAGGCCCTGTTTTCCCTCTGGGCACCTCTTTCCTCATCTGATAGCCATACCCACTGGGAGCTGAAATGGGCAGGGATCTGGTGGTTTCTGCTCTAACTCCTCCCCACAGCAAGGGTGATAGCCTCCTCTGGGTGTGGGTTCAGCCAGGCAGGGCAACCTTTCTCACCTCTCTCCTCTGTCTGTCTTTGCGGGGCTGAATCCCTTTATCCCAAAGACACCTTGTTTGTTTGTCGCCCAACAGGAATCCATTATGTTGGGAGCATGCAGGAAGGCAGCTTTGGCCGTTTTATCTTGGACCAGATCACTGAGGGGCAGCTGGACTGGGATGCCTTGTCCTCTCCCTTTGACGTCATGGTACTAGAAGGGCCTAATGGCCGAAAGGAGTTCCCAATGTACAGCGGGGAGAAAGCCTACATTCAGGGTCTCAAGGAGAAGTTTCCCCAGGAAGAAGCTGCCATTGACAAGTATATAAAGCTGGTTAAGGTAACATGGACATGCTAAGGACCCCCTTGTTTATTCCTGACAAGGCTGACCTTCTTCGTTAGTGGAGTGACTGGAGGGGGAGGCAGGAAGGGAGGAACAGTCACGTCTGTCCTGAACTCTCCCGGCAGAGCTTGCCTCTGTGCCTCTGGGGCCTGAGCTGGGCAGCCGTTGCCCTCTCTCTGGCCTCCGGGGGGCGCCGTGCTCCTTTCCCTGAGCAGGCTGGCTTTTGTGTAGTGCGATTATTACCATTTTTTGAGACCAGATTGGGATTGTTCAAAAGGAATTTGGGCAGGAAACTGAAAAGCAAAATATTCATCTGAGAGTAGAATGGGAAGAATTCACAGGGTACTGATTCTTAAAGATCCCAACTGAGTCTGAGTTCAGCCAGGCGTGAGTGTGCCTTGGCCCTCTGCTGGGGCAGGCTATTGGAATGGTGATTCTGTCTCAGCAGTTCTAGAAATGAGACCTGTGCCTCCATCCTCATTCTCTTCCCCAGCTGGTAGCCAGAGGAGCCATTCATGCCATCTTGTTGAAGACCCTTCCGTTGCCTGTGGCTCAGTTCCTCAGCAAGTGTGCGCTGCTCACCCATTTCTCTCCATTCCTTCGCACGTCCACCCAGAGCCTGGCTGAGATCCTGCAGCAGCTGTTCACCTCCCGGGAGCTCCGGGCAGTGCTCAGCTACATCTACCCCACGTACGGTGGGTACTGGCCTCGGACCTTGGGAGCTCTTGGAGGAGGAGGTGCTGCCCTCCTGGCTCTTAGTCTTGTGTCCTGAATGTGCGTGGCTAACTGAAGTGCGGTATAAACCCTTATGGATGAGGGTTCTGCCTCCCTACCTGCTGGACTCTCTGGTAAAAATTCCTTCTTCCACACCCTGGATGTTTTCCTTTCCAACCAGCACTGTCCTCCTGGGTCTCGGCAACATGGCAATATGCAGGGAGGACAGTCCTGCTGGCTGCAAGACCTGTAAGGTACCCCACATTTGCATGGAAACTGGCCCCTGGCTGCTCCAAGCTGTGGGAATCACTTGAACCCTGGGACTCAGGCTGCATGTTTTCTGACAGGAATCCATGTCCCTTTCTGAGTGGCGCTGCTGCCCGCACTTGCCTCATCGCCCCCTCCTCCTTTCTGTAGGTGTGACCCCCAGCCACACCACCTTTTCCATGCATGCTCTGCTGATTAACCACTACATGAAAGGGGCCTTTTATCCTCGAGGGGGTTCTAGTGAAATCGCCTTTCACACCATCCCTGTGATTGAGCGGGCTGGCGGCGCTGTCCTGACGAGGGCCCCTGTGCAGAGTGTGTTGCTGGACTCAGCTGGGAAAGCCTGTGGTGAGACTCCTGCATCGTGCGTGCTTTGTGGGCCCTGGGCTGGGGTGGGACAGACCTGGGCTGCAGGGAAAAGAAAGCACTGAAGGCAGAAGGTGCAGCAGAGCTGACTTCCTCATGGGGTTAAAGGCTGGAATCCGCCCCAGAGCAGGGCTCAGGGAAAGTGACTAGTCTGGAGAGAAAGGGGATGCAGGAAGGATAAAGGATTGCATAGGCCGCAAAAAGCAGTATTTAATTATTTATTCAATAGATAAGAATAGTTACCCAGTTATCTATGACCTCCTTGAGTATAGGGGCTGTGTCTTTTTAATCTTTGTCTGTAGATTTTGGCACATAATAGAGGCTCAATAAATGTTTGTTGAGTGACTAATGGAATGAATACATAAACTGGGCACTCCCTAGGGCTGTATGGAGGCCAGCAGAATACCCTGCCCTCAACCTGTACATGACAGAGTGAGGCCTAGAATCTTGTTATCCTGGCTCAGGTCTTTGCTATTATCTGCAGAAAGGGTCAAGATCCCACTGCAGAGAACTTTGTGGAGGACTCTGGGAAACAGAGCAGGCTATCTGTGACTTGTGGGTGTTTAAGAAGCATCAGGGAAAGGGACAGAGAGAGGCCTGAAGGAAATAGGGCTGGTGTGATGGTGGATTCACCAGAGGAACCTTTTAAGGAGGAGTTGGTGAGTGGGCAGCCCAGTGCACCAAAAATATCAAGGGAGAAAAGGCCATCAGTAGTCTCTGAGAGCGCATTTGTAGAAGAGAGTAGGAAGTTGCTGGTGGTAGGAAAGAGGTGGCTGTCAGTAGTGTGAGATTTTCTCTTATCTTCACGAGCAAGTTCTCCTTCCAGCTAAATGGGGTCCATGAAGCAAGATGGATTTATTAGTTCAATTAAATTCAGTTCAGAATATATTTATTTGTGTTTTTCATGTGCTAAGTGATAAAAGATGAAAATTAAAAGACAAGTCCTAATCTCTAACTCAAGAAGTTTCCAGTCTCATAGGGACGATCACTGTGATACAATTTAAGTGCCATATAGAAGTACATGCTAAAACTGGAGGTGAACAGGGATGCAACCTGGCAGAGGTGCTTGAGCCAGGACATAAAGGGTCAGAAGCAGCTAGCCAGGGGTTAGGGGAGGTTATTCCAGGCAAGGGGAACAGAATGTGCAAAGGCATAGAGGTATGAAAGAGCTGAATATTTTAAGCATCTGAAAATATTAGGTTGAACCATTAGAAACTGCTGTTTTTATAAGTAAAAAATGGTTGACTATCAGCTGTTTCATATGGTTGTACCTAATAGTTTAGTGAGTGGCTAGAAAAGAGGTGGACACAGAATAGGGACCACATCATGGAAGGTTGATAAAAGGGTGAACGGTGTTGCGTTTAGCTAAAGAAAAGGGAGCGCACACAGGGTGGGGAGACAGCTAGGGAAGGTGAGCACAGAGCGATTGAGGGGCACACTGAGAGGACTGTTTGAGGATGTTTTACTCATTTTACAGTTTTGCCTGGGGCATGCCCGTCCGGCCCCAGGTGGTCTGGATGCCCAGGTCTGAGAAAATGAAGCATAGTCTAGGAGAGACCTGTTTGGGATGTGAGCCTTTCATTTTCTCCTGGAGTGCACAGAACCTCCATCAAGTTCTTGTGCCTACAGGTGTCAGTGTGAAGAATGGTCAAGAGCTGGTGAACATCTATTGCCCCATCGTGATCTCTGATGCAGGACTGTTCAATACCTACAAGTACTTATTGCCAGAGAACGCCCGCTGCCTGCCAGGTAAGACTGGGCCATGTGGCTCTCTCCCAGGTTCCCAGCATTGCCTGGGTGATGCTTTTCCCAGGGTGGTGGCTGCCCTTTGACTCTCCTTAAGTAGAAAAGGTGAACAGACTGGTCTCTGACTTGTTCCCAGCAACGCCTCTGTGTAGGGGTTGGGAAACAACTCCCTTTGTATCACATCACCCCAGAGACTCTTTGGTCGTTATTTATCTTTTTATTCTTGGCATTTTTACTCCCTTCCCCTCATACTCTCAACCACTTTCCCCTCTCCTCTTTTAAGTTTCCATTCTAAGTCACCCATTTCCTGTTTTCCTAGATCTTAGATCATCTAATGGTTAATGATGGTGGGTAGAGTCCGAAAGGAACATTTTTTGGGTTTCCACTAAGTTCGTCATATGAATTCTGCTTTCTTCCTTAATTTCCCACTTACTTTGAGTGGGAAAGACTTGTCTCACATTATCAGTAAGGGAAGCTAAGGCTGGCGTCAGAAAAGAGGCTTGATATAATTGTGGTGTGCCTTATTTGGGAACCAAGGTTACATTTTTCTGCTTCTTTCAAAAACCAGCTCCTTATTGGGGCTGAGGCTGCAGGCATACCCTTTTGGCTTTCTTTTCTCCCTTGAACCCTGTGCCCAAAATCTGGGTGCCAGGTAGAATGCAGTCGCCTCTTCTGATAAAGCCACATCTAAAAAGAAAAGCCTGGTTTTGTGGAGGAAGAGGAGGTAGACATAGTTATGGTTGGCGCTGGATAGGTCATTGCATTTGATCCTCATAGCCACCTGGGAAAGAGCCGTCATCATCCTGATGTTTATGGCTGGGGAAGCTGAGGCCATGCAGGGGAAATGACTTCTCAAGGCCACCTATGTGACGGTGGCAAAGCCGAGATGAGAATGCTGGTGTACCTGGGCTCTTGGCCCCCTCTAGTCTAAGAAGCATGGGGCTTCCAGAGACAAGGCCTCACTAAAAGGGGCAGGAGAGGAGGTCAGCCTGTGAAGAACAAAGTGGCTCAACCAGAGTTAGGTGAGAGGTAACTGTTTCGAAATGGACTTAGGATATTGTGGAACTGCAAGCTACTGGAGTGGTCTGGGGGAAGGAGGCTGCTGGCCTGGAGGGGACCAGTAATCCAGGAGGGTAAGAGAGGGGTGCTGCTGAAGGCCTGTGGCGGGCGCTGCAGGGGGAGAGATGGGAGCAGCTCCATGCAGTTGAGATGAAAAGGCCGAGAGAGCAGTGGAAGGGGCTCTCCACCCCCGAAATGGGGGCCATGGCTGCTCTTTGAGGACCTACACAGGTGGGCAGCAGAGTGGGTTCAGCAGAAAAGTGAGGACCTGGATTTCCTCGTGGGGAGAGGGTGGGTAGCAGTTGTACTTGTCTCTAAGATATATGTTCTACTGAAAACCAACCTTCTCATTCCTTTGCCTCACTGAGCTGGGCCTCACTCGGCCAGCATCTTCTGCGAGCGAAGGTCTCCTCCCTCAACTGGGTGAGCTGAGTGGGGTGAGGCTGAAACTGCCCGGTGCAGGGCAGCGGGGTGGGGCTGGGTGGACTGACCACCAGATTTTGCCCTTGGTACTTCTGCCTCCCTCTCTCCCATCCTCTAATAGGTCCTGGGGTCCCACCCAGGTCTGTCTTCTCTCCAGGCAGCAATGTTACCTTTCCAGCTTGCCTTTTCCTCGCTGTGTGGTTTTAGCTTTCACTGCGCTTAGGTAGCTCAGCCCTGAAAACAGGCTAATGGCCCCCACCTGGCTGAAGGACCAATTGCCTCCTTGGGTGGGGAGCTGGGTGCTGCCCCAGATGAATCCCAGTTTGAGAACATTTCAGGCAGTGGCAGAGATGATGCTTAATTCAGAGATCCCAGTGGTGGGACACCTTTGTTTCTACCTGCTTGGGGGTAGACATTTTCATAATTCTGTTCCGATCTCAGAGATGGGACCGATACCTGCTGGCTTGAGGGACAGGTAGAGCCAGGTGGGCTTGAGGGTGGAGGTGGGATGGTCAGGCAGAGGGAACCTTTGTGAATGGGAGCACCTTTCTTAAATCTCACTGCTGAGCCTTGAGGCAGTGACTGGAGATGGTTTGGAGAGGAAATTTTTTGAGTGGGAAAGCCTGGTCTCATAATAGCAGCAAGGAAGCGAAGGCTAGTGTGGAGAAGAAAGGGTCGGTATAACTGTGACTTCTTTGGGACCCTAGGTTATATTTTTCTGCCAGGTATGTGGTTCCTGAACCTTTCTTCTAGCTGGGGGAAGGGACGATGGGCTGAGTGGAGGTGGTTGCTGTTCTGAGGGGCTTCAGAAGACCTAGGGGGTTTCCTTCTGGGCCCCTGGTTCTCTCTATGCCCACCCAGCCCCACCTGTAGAGTGAGTGCCAGCAGTGTGATTATCGCCAGAAGCGACGGGGCGCTCCTGCGGCTCCAGGGCAGTGCACTGCTCCGTGCTGTGGCTGTGGCAGCCCACGTTCCCCTTCCCTCCTCACGGCCAGCTGTCCTACTGTGAATTGTTACAACGCCCCCTCTTGCTCTTAAAAGTGGCCTGTTTTCGATAGATTCTATGGTTACACTACCCATAGCACTCAGTGCTTTGTAGCATCTATGAGGATATACAGCTTATTTCAGGGAAGTCTCTTTTCCAGTAGACAGGCAGCCTATCTGATTCCTTATAGCATCGCCGGGGCCTACAGAGCGTTCAACACATTCTAGGTTCTCAACAAATAGTTGTAAAATGAATTAAGCAGAGCAGCCAGTGTTATCCCTCAAGCAGGTGTTGGGGATGGTGCTGGGAATGGGGACAAAGGATCAGAATTGTAGGAGCAATTTCTGGAAAACTAGTCTGGGGTGACTTGTTGAGCGGTGGGGAAGCCCAGTTGCTTTGGCCCCGGAGGCTGTTGCCTCCCTCCACAGTGCTGTTCTTCCCTCCTCCCCAGCTGACTCCTCAAAACGCCACATGCCGGGAATGTTGTTTGTATTTGTTCCTTTCTATTGCTTACCATTTGGAGGCCCTGTACTGACTGTACTGCCCATTATGAATTGTGTATATCCATTTATTAGGTGGCTTATATTAAAGTTCATACTGAAATTAAGATTTATAACAAATGACTGTTTGCATGTGTGGTCTTTATAGCATGAAGCCCAGTTATCCACTCCTAACTTAAAGACATGAGGTAAGGTTAGAGGCAGTTAGCATGAGACTGTCCTGCAAGCTCTGTAAGCTGCTGGCTTAGGAAGGCTGGGTGTCACCTGATTCTATGGTGCTACAGCAGAAGCGGGTGGAGGTGAAGAGTCAGAGTCTGGTGTTGTGTCCTTCACAGGCAGGAGACGAGAGACCAGGTCCCTGCCAATTAATTGTTATTTCAACAGTTATAGTTGAAGTAACATGATAAAAACAGCCCAGGCGCTGGACTGGCAACTGAGGCTAAGCTGCAGGTGCCGCCCTCTCCCAGGGCAGAGGGCCATCTCGGGCCACAGTGCATACAGCCCACACCAGCTCTCTTTGGCAGGTGTGAAGCAGCAGCTGGAGATGGTACGGCCAGGCCTGAGCATATTCTCTGTCTTCATCTGCCTACGAGGTACCAAGAAGGACTTGGGGCTGCAGTCCACCAACTACTATGTTTACTTTAACACACACATGGATGAAGCGTAAGACATTTGTGTGCATGTGGAGAGTGAGGGTGTCAGCAGGGGCCCACAGACCATAGGACCCCTGACTCCCTGGACGCTAGCGAGTCAGCAGGAGATGGAGTGGGAGGAAGTGGGCAAGAATTTACCCCAGGAAGGGCTTTTTCATCCCCGGGGGCTAAGGGGTTTCCCTGGTGATGAACTGTCCTCAGGGTGGTGCTGGTGGCGGTCAGGGCCAAGGCCCTGGCCTGGCAGCTACACCCCTCTCACCCTCAGGATGGAGCACTACCTCGCTATGCCCCGGGAAAAGGCTGCAGCACACCTGCCTCTCTTATTCATTGTCTCCCCATCAGCTAAGGACACGACCTGGGAGGACCGATTCCCAGGTGGGGCTTGAGGTCCCAGGGGAGGGAGCTGGGGTGGGAAGGGGCCGGGCAGCAGTAACCCTGGCTCTGCACCCCAAGACCGGTCCACTATGATCGTGCTGGTGCCCGCCTCCTATGAGTGGTTTGAGGAGTGGAAGGAGGAGCCACAGGAAAAGCGGAGCAGCGACTATGAGACTCTGAAAACCTCCTTCGTTGAAGCCTCTCTGTCAGTCGTCATGAAGCTGTTCCCACAGCTGGAGGGGAAGGTAGGTAGACCATGTGGTTGTGACAACAGAACTCTTGGTGCCATTTCTCCCTTTTCTTTAGGGCAGGGAAATAAAACGCTGAGATAACTGAGCTCTAGGGAAGGCAGGGAACCCATGCAGGCCATCAGCTCATTCAAGGAGAGCAGAAGAGGAAGAGCTGAGGATCTCACAAGGTCTCCCTCCCACCCTGTGGCTGCCTTTTTTGCCTTTTAGGTGGACAGTGTGACCGGAGGATCCCCGCTGAGCAGTCAGTTCTACCTGGCTGCTTTCCAGGGTGCCACTTACGGAGCTGACCATGACTTGGGCCGCCTGCATCCTCATGGGATAGCCTCTCTCAGGGCCCAAAGCCCCATCCCCAACCTCTACATGACAGGTACACTGACTGCCTCATCTTGCCCAGAGCTGAGACCCAAGGCCTCCCTATCACCCACAGTCCTCCGTTCAGGTCCTCAGGCGCTTCTGCCCCCGCAGCCTCCTACACCCTTGCTGGGCTGCCTCTGCAGGCTCTGGATCCTGGGCCTGGTCTGAAGCTATCCCTGGGTGGCCCAGCACTGAGGGATGAACATGAGAGCCCCTGCCCTCTCCCCTACTTGGGGGGCTGCTCATGGGTCTCTGCTCTTGTCTCCTAGGCCAGGATATCTTCACCTGTGGGTTGATGGGGGCTCTGCAAGGGGCCCTTCTGTGCAGCAGTGCCATCCTGAAACGCAACGTGTACTTAGACCTTAAGAGGCTTCGTTCAAGGATCCAGGCGCAAAAGAAGAAGAATTAGTCCGGTCAGGGATGAGTCAGCGCTATGGCACAACCCCTGACTTAGCCATGATGTCTTTCAGTATTAGTTTCTGCTCACGTAAAGCACTCTCATTTGTTTTTGATTTCTGAATGGAGATCTGACACACAGGTCTAGCAGAGATCATAGTTCTCCAAATGAAGCTCTTCTAGCTGGGGCAGGGATGATGTTTCATACCTTTACATGCTAGTCCTAATAAAAGGCCCAAGGGGTTACTGATCTGGATAGCCTTAATGCCTAATCAAGCACTGCTCTGCACCCCACACCCATCCCTCCTAACTCAACAATCAAACTGAATATTCTTTGGTCAGGTGGCTAGAACCCTTGAAAGTGCTAGACCAGCTGTCTCTAGGCTTCTCCTCATCCACTTCTTGTGCTGTGCTGCAATCTACACCATTAAAGAAAATGGTGCCTAGTGAGGTTTTAGTCAAAGTTTTGAAGGTTCAGAGGACTCCGGATCGTATTTTTGGCTGGTTCCAGTGGCTCTTGGAGAGGGTGGAGACATACCTGTGATAGACTCAATGAGGTTGTGGGGGCTGGAGGTAATGGATAAGATGTATTACTTGGCAAAATATGTGTTACAAGATAATATCCCATTTGTATACAGCCAAGGCCCTAGGTCTGTCATCCTTATAATTGGGTGACGTTGGGTTCTCAATGTGCCAGCACCAAGACACACCCTCATGGAGCCTTGAGGCTTATCTTCCAAAGATATGGAGCAAAGATACAGAGCAAAGGGTGATGTTACTAGTCAGGGCACAGGACTGGAAAAGTGACTCCGCTGGGGTTAAAGCAGGCTGTAAGGGCATTCCCGGCCAATGTTACAGCAGAGGACAAGTGCCAAGAGGTAACTGAATGAATAGTGACAAACGGCCCAACTCGCTACCCCCTAGACCTAGAACATGGGCTGTCTGGCGGGGAGGAGAAGTGGGGCTGGAAATCAGCTGTGACCACAACAAGGGAAGCTACAGAATGTGTACGAAGCCCAGAGTGGCGCTTCCAGTTTATTGGAGATTGGATGGGAAGGTGAATGAAGACTAAAGGTTAAAAATAAAATGACCTTTCACTTATGTTATGCCTCATTTCAGTCAATTTTAATCCAGTATCAATAAATTTAATGATTTTATAGCTTTAATATTTGAAATTTATTTCAGTTTCTGTGCAATGATACAAAATTACATCAAGTGGCATTCATAGAAGCTCAGAGAAACATTAGGTACTGAAAAATACTTATCATTAGACCAAATAAGCTTAAAAAAAATTATAGTTAAGTTACAAAAGCTGAAAATATAAAACACTGCATAACAGTGGCAATCTACTAACTGGGTAAACAAAAAAAGAAGGGAAACAATGTCAACCATCAATCATTTAACATGGTAGAATTCTGAATTAAAGGAATATCTATCAGATATTTTATATATATCAGTGCAAGGAGGCTGGCTTTGTTGGCAGCTTGAAACTACACCGCTCATAGTCAATGCTTTCACAGAGGAGTTTCTAACTTGAGATTCAGTCTTGGCTGTGGATATACAGTTAAAATAAACCTGAAAATCTCTTCCCAGGATCCTTACTTAAGCAATGCCATGCCAAACACAATCCTCCCAGCAAGAGTTTTCAGAAAACAGCTGGCAGAACTACCAGGTCTGGAATATAGCACACCTCCTTGTCCAAATGATTCAGCATGTGCAAAGATTCAGCATGTGCAAAGCGTGCTACCTTTCATCACACATGCAGCATTATGTACCAAGTTACCCTGTAAAAACAAAAGGCAGACTTCCTTTTTTTTTTTTTTTTGATTTAAATGACATGAATTGGAGAACAACAAAATGAGAATCACCATCAGAGTAATTTTAGAGGTTTAAAATTCTACCACCAAATATTTCATTAAAGCCATCATGGGAAAAGAAATGTGAAAATATATAAAAAACTAATTGTCAGGTCTTTCCAATTTGTCTTAGCCTTTTGTGATATGACTGGTCTTCCACTCCCCCAGAGTCCAGGAACAGACTCTTTATATAATTCTACTCACTAATCTAGCAGGGAAACAAATTCTTCTATTACCAACCATGACTGAAGCATAGATTAGATTCCTCCTAACAGAACTCACCCTTCAACCAAAAGCCGGGGGCAGGAAGGGAAGCCGAAAGCTGCCTAGAGATGGGTGCCTCTCTTGGGTTCCTGTACTTCCTTGCCTGCCTCCACCCCACCCCAACTCACCCCAGCTTAAAAGATACCTCAGCCAGCTCACCCTCATCCACACACAATCTCTAGAAAAACATGCTTCAAGTCTTCAAAAAACAAGTAACTACCTAGAAAACAAGTTTTCCTTTGGTGTGAGAGATTTCCTTCAGTGCAATTTCTAAAGTGAAACTTAAATTCTACTGTACTCTTTCACCGCAAGACATGATATTTCTCACAGGCTCAAAAAGTGGAACTATGTGGATTCCACAGCAATACCAACCCTCTTGGTTCTTGAAATAGCCTTTCTTTTTGCTCTCCTCTTTCCGAGCAAAATCCATCAATCAGGGACAGTAACCAATAACCAGAAAGAGCTGTGTGAGACCTCAGTTAAAGTCGTATCCAGATGTCCTGATCAAAGAAAATGTCTCCTTTGATAGGAGAAGAAACCGAACTCCTGAAGTACCTGAGGAATGTCACCATGCTAGGCAGACATGCAGATGGTGCCAAAGGCACTCCCTCAGGTAGCTTGGTTTTCTTGGGGAGACCAGAGACATCAGATACAGACTTCTATTTTGCTAAAGTTCCAAAATTTGTGATTGACATTATTAAGAGCTATTAAAGTAGAATCAGAAAAGCCAATCACAAGGTTGGGGAAGTTAGGGAGGTACATGGGAAAACCTGAGGAAACAAATTTTGGGGAGGTAAGGGAAAAAAGAGAAGGGAGAGCAACCTAACCAAAGAATAACCATGGGATATCTGGGAATGTAAGAACAAAAAGCAGGGAGGCCTAGACAGGCACCCAACTCAAGGGGCCTTCGGCCTGGCTAGGAAGCAGACAAAGACAGGCAGGCAAGTGCCCCTATGCAGAGTCCTGAATACTAAAGAGCCTATAAACTCGATTCCCTAAGCCATGAGGTACACAAAAAGAAGCTTCACGTCAGGGCAAGTATTTCAGAACGCTCAATCTGGTCTCTTCATGTTCATAAGAGAAGATGGGCAGGAAAACCAATTAAGTTGGCTCCCGGGGGGGGAAAAAATCCAGGAGAGCAGTGAAATGGGTGTGGGACAAAGCAGCAGGGAAAATGGAAAGAAAGATTGTAGCCAGAGCATTTTTTTAAAAAAAATGGGTAAGACTTTTTTAACGAGATAAAAATGGTAAAAGTCTGTAGTTTGTAGCTGAGAAGACAAAAGAAATTGGGCAGTTGAGAGGGGCAGTTTAGTGGATAGAAGGAATTCAGTTTTAGTGACAACAAAACAACCATGCTGAAATATTCAGCACACAACAGGACTGGTTTCTTTGGGAACTAGGCCAAGGATAAAAACTTGGTAGTCACTCAGAGGATGAAGAATGAATGAATTTCTGAGGAAACAAAGTAAAGAAAGGACTGCCTTTGAGGACCCTTTTCCCATCAGCACAGGATAAGGCCAAGGAGTTCTTGGCATCAAGATAGTCTATCAGAGAACCACAAGAGGAGAATTTCTATTTGGATGGTCAATAGTGTCCAATTCTATCAAGGTCAAGACTGTGTCTTGAGAATAAGACATTGGATCTGAGCCTACAGAAAAACACCTAATAGACAGGGACCAAAGTGAGTTTGTAAAAGTTATGAAGAGAATAAATGGCAAAGTAATGGAAGCAATACTTAAGAAGTTAAATAGAAAACTGAATGACAAATAGGATAGATGCTTTCGGGAGGCGCGGGATGTATTTGTGCATGCATGAATGTGGAGGAAAAGTGCTAGTGTAGAGAGACAGAAATAGAAAACATTAGAGAGGAGGAGGAAAGGCAAGGACAGAGGAGACAGAAAAGGGAACAAAATAACCATGGTCTTAGATGGAATGCTAGAGGAGCCTGACAGAAGATTCCTCTGATTGGAGGAAAGGTTTACAATATAAGACTGGTACGGAAGTACAGTGAATGATGCCAAGAAGAGCACTCATTCATCCCTGATCTCCACAAATAGGTACCTGCATTGAATGAAGATCTATCTCAACTCAAAGCTATGAACTGTTTTAAGGAAGATGGAAGATAATGACAAACATAATGGTCCCTTGTTTAGACTTCTTCAACAGCACAGAATTCAACATATTCCCCTCACTTCCCACACTCTGTATTTCTTGAGATTGGTGGTTATATTTGTTTTTCCTTTGCAGTAACAACTCTTTTAGGCCCTCTGAAATAGGGTAGCATGATTAGAATAGATTTACATAAGACTTCAAACAGCTTGATTCAAGATACTACCCTCAGTGACCCGGGGGGGAACTCTGTGAATTTCTTCAATTTTAATAACCCCTCTCATGGGATAGAAGAATTTTTACTAATTACCCTTAGCATTCTATATCAGATGAAGACCATTAATTATGTTAAGATAAAAGAGTACAGTTAGTTTCTAAATATGTCTATTTTGTCTCTTTCAGGCAAGAAAGGCAAAATAGAGTTTGTGGGGAACCTATTTCATAAAAGGCCTTTGGAAAAAAACACAGACCAAAACCAAAACCCATCAGAGACAGCAACCAATAACCAACATGTTCTCTTGTACAAAGCATGAACTTACCCTATTTCAAAAAGTTCCTGTTTTGATTTAAGGAAGAACAGTGTTTTAATAATTGTAACTATATTTGTAAAAATCTTCAATGACAACAGTGGCTTTACAGCTTTAGCTTTACTCCCAGAATCCCCAAGTTCAGGTTATATTCAGTACAACCAAATGGAAGTTGATTCACTTTATCTTAAGTAATATGAAAATATCAGAAAAATGGGAAGAACTTATGCTAGACAGGTTGAACTTTCAGGCAGCAGGCAGTAAAGTACTTCTTAAAAGCTGTTTTGGTTTTGCTGCTAAAGCCTTTGAAGAAAGTTGTGTTCAATGTAGCCCTTTGCCCATCAGCATTCACACTCTCTATCTCTTGCAGGGCACATCCCCCTCAAAGTTAGAGGCCCTGGTGGAAAAGTACCTCAACCTCCTGAGTTTTCTCCTAGGTCTGCAAACATAAATAGTGGCAAGAGCAATCCTATTTTCAAGGGGTAACTTTGCTGCAAAGCCAAGGCCCAAGGGAGGACAGTCAGCAGCACTAGTCTGCCTAGGGCTGGGATCTCCTTTTGGTCAAAGCTGGGTTCCTACATGCTTGCTCCTTCTACTCACACTCTGAGCGGGAAAGGGCAGAAGACACCAACGTAAATATGGGAGCACAGGAGTACAAGGTCACCAAAGTGCAGGTGCAAAAACCAAAGCAATGCCTCCCCCCGCAAACCCCCGCCTCTGCCAGCCCTGACTTGCCACCAAACTCTAGAGGGTGTCCCTTAATTCACAGTACTTTTCTCTTCATTTGTCTTGATTTAGAAACAAATCAGCAGGGAGGACGAGGTTCTCAAAAACAGAAAAATCACATCTGAAACGAAAATAACACAATCCACTGGTATCGTTCATCTTCTTCCAGAGGAATATACCTTACTGCCATGATTTTGGGGGGGGGAAAGATCTTATAGGATTTGCAGCTCAAAAAAGCCCCAGAATTAGGACAAACTGATGCTCCACCATAAAAGAGCTATTGATAAAATAAAAACATAAAATTATTTTACAAGTCAGTTTGAAATAAAATACACACTAGAAAGATACACACTTGGTGGAGGGAATTTGAGAATCTTGGCTTCTGCCTTGTACCATTCTATATTGTTTTGAATTGTTTACATGTGCATTTTTTAAAATCAGAAGAAAATTGTAAACACAGGAGAGTGACAATCCTTAAAGGCAACTATCTAGAAGGGTACTTGGCCAGGGTTATTCTGTGAAGGTGACGTACCGGGCCAATCAGCAAAGCTATTCTGAGCTGAGTAGCTTATTCTACAGCTGGTACAAGCTGTACATGTGAACTGTATTCTCTGTAGGAAGTCTGGGAACAACTTGTAGTTGGGCCACCAACAACTCTTCACCTATATCCTTGCTGTTGCTACAGAGAAAGGGGAAAGGAAAGGTGCATGCTGGCAAGGCAGTGGGAGCACACTGTGCTTCAGCAGCTGCCTTTGGGGAGAGCCTTACTTGGCTCCTGTGTCTGTAGAGTGGAAGAAGGTCTTTGCTTCTGGCAGAGGCACAGGTGGGCTGCACTCAGGAAATCTAGTCAACAATGCTCAGCAGGGCTGATCTGGGAAGATAGAGGCCTATGTTTCTGGACTCATTTATTTTCCGGGAGTGTAGTCTAGTGCTTTGCTCCCTAATGTGTGGTACCAGCAGCATTTGGTGTCATCTGGGAACCTCCTAGAAATGTAGGAGCACAGGCTCTACCTCATAGCTAGTGCATCAGATTGCTTTCCATCAAAATGCCTAAGAAAATTTCTGAAGTGCCGATGGAGGACAAAAAGCACAGCACGGGAGCCCAGGGAGTTGCCATCAGACCTCGATTTTGCCACATACTTGAGGTAGGAATTTAAGAAAAACAACAACAACAACAATAACAACAACAACACGATTTCTGGGCCTGAGTTTCCTCCTCTGTCAAGGGAGGGAGCTGTTGTGAAGTAATTAAAGGTTTCTTCAGCTCTAACACTACAGACATGAATATTTGATGTGTTTACTTTGTGGTCTGAAAAGGGCAGGGACAATGGTAGCTGCACCCCTAGCTAGACCCAGCTGCTGTTTCTGTGCCAAATGCAAGCCTGCTGCTGGGCCCAGCTGAGACTGTAGAGCCCTCCCATGGATCTGGGTCTTCCTTCCTTACCTTCTGATCCAAACGCTGGTAGTCACTAGCCTTTGGCCGCCGAGTAAGTTTGGATTTTTTTCCTTCCAGGACAAAAGCAATAATCTGGGGAAGGAAAAAAGAAAATCATTAAGAAATGATTCTATAATGACGTATTTCAGTCTCTGAGATGAGAGGTAATCACCTGGTAGTATATTTATTAATAACCCTGACAGTAAAAAGAGCAGGGTACCCACAAAGAGGCCTGTTTAAATTATAACAACTTTAAGGAGGATAGGGCCTAGTTCTACTAGAATCCTGTATACTAATAGAAAACAGCAGAGGGAAGGAGGCTGTCCTGGGCTCTAGCTTGTGGGAGTCTGTTGATTTATTCAGCAGTACTCAATCAAAGATCTGCCACCTCTTCCTTGGAGAACTCCAAGCTAAGACAGTTCTTTTCCTTTTTCAAAAATCAGATGCAGCCCTGACTGGCATGGTTGTTTCCTGAGCGTTGTCCCACAAAGTGAAAGGTCAACAGTTCAAGTCCAGGTCAGGGCACATGCCTGGGTTGCGGGTCCAACGTCCGATTGGGGTATGTGCAAGAGGCAACCCATTAGTTTCTCTCCACCTCTTTCTCCCTTCCTTCCTCTCTCTCTAAAAATAAAATCTTCTTTAAAAAATCATAAGCAATTATTTTTTTCTGCAAATGCATTCTTTCCCTCCACACTTTGCCTCATCTTAACTTTACCACTCTCATTTCATGCCTGTTAATCTCCATGATGTTGGATATAGAATAAGGAATGTACCATTTTAAGTAAACATCTTCCCTCATTCCTTATAGCCACAGGCCTTATGGCCATCATGAATTGAGCTCTCCAATTCTGACCAGGTTACAGAAACTATGTACTTAATTCTTAAAAGCTCAGTAAGGAATGCAATCATTTTGTCACTGGAGTGATTGCTAAGTGATCACACCAAACCCTGCTACAAAAGTGAAAGATGAGTATATATCTATGCATTTTCTGGTCTTTCTCCTCATCAGAAATTCAAATGGCTGCAGAAGATAACCCGTGGGCTCTCTGTGGATGTCAAAGACAGTGTAACCACTCTTTCTGCCACTGCAGGTGAAAAACAAAAACTCAGAAATGGTGCAGTTTTGAGAGTGGAAACAGGAAAGTGCTCTCACTACTTACAAATTGTCAGTTACTCAAGTCATCTGAGGCTGTGAAGTTGATTTAAGTTCAAGATTACAGGAGACCCCAATTTAGGTCAGATTGTAATAATGTCCTCACTTAGTACCTAATGCAGCAGCAGTGGGCACTCAGAGGAAACAGACATGAAAACAAGTAATTTATAAAACAAGAGCCTAGTAGGATCTGAAAACAAAACAAAACAAAACTGAAATGTCTTAAAATCCCCAGTCCTCACAGGCAGATATATGAATACTGGCTCATAACCCAAGCTTTCAGGGCAGAGGATATCCTATTCCTCTCAAGATAACTGTTGACTTACCTTCCGCTTGTTGTGATAGGCAATATAGAGGACAGCAACAAGAATGGCTGCAGTGACCAAATATGCAAAGAAGTGGCTGCTCTCTGCACTGGCACTTCCAAGATTGTCCTTATAAAGGTCACCCTTCTTCCTACTTGTGGAATCCAAAAGCATCCCTTCATGGTTCTCTCTAGAGGAAGGGCTAAGCATTTCTTTCTCTTCTTTGGGTGGAGAACCCTCTTTAGGCTCAGAACTGTCTTTCATGGGCTGGTGCTCCTGATCCGACTTGTCAGAAGTGTCTTTTGTGGCCTGGTGCTCCGGATCCAACTTGTCAGAAGCATCTTTTGTGGTCGGGACCTTCTGATCTGACTTGCCAGAAGTATCTATCACAGTCTGGTGCTCCTGACCTGACTTGTCAGAGGTATCTTTCTTGGGCTGCTGCTCCTTATTCGACTTGTCAGAAACATCTTTTGTGGTTGGGTCCTCCTGATCCGACTTGCCAGAAGTATCTTTCATGGTCTGATGCTCCTGACCTGACTTGTCAGAGGTATCTTTCTTGGGCTGCTGCTCCTTATCCGACTTGTCAGAAACATCTTTTGTGGTGGGGTCCTCCTGACCTGACTTGTCAGAAGTATCTATCACGGTCTGGTGCTCCTGACCTGACTTGTCAGAGGTATCTTTCTTGGGCTGCTGCTCCTGATCCAACTTGTCAGAGGTATCTTTTGTGGTTGGGTCCTCCTGATCCGACTTGCCAGAAGTATCTTTCATGGTCTGATGCTCCTGACCTGACTTGTCAGAGGTATCTTTCTTGGGCTGCTGCTCCTTATTCGACTTGTCAGAAACATCTTTCGTGGCTGGCCCCTTCTGATCTGACCTGCCAGAAGTATCTATCGCGGTCTGCTGCTCCTGACCTGACTTGTCAGAGGTATCTTTCTTGGGCTGCTGCTCCTGACCCAACTTGTCAGAGGCATCTTTTGTGATCACGTCCTCCTCATTCGACTTGTCAGAATTGTCGTCCACGGTCTGGTGCTCCTGAATCGATTTGTCAGAGGTATCTTTCTTGGGCTGGGGTTCCTGATTCGACTTGTCTGAATTGCCTCTTGCGGTCTGGTACTCCTGATTAGGCTTTTCATTAGTATCTTTCGGGGAATGGTTCTCTTCCTCTGACTTGCCAGAAATGTCCTGCGGGGGCAGGTTCTGCTTGGTCACCTTAGCATTGTCGTTTATCTTGCGCAGCTCTTCGTCAGTGGGTTGACCCCTGGAGACTATTTCTGCAGTCTTTTCCTTCTCCCGATTGACTTTTCCGTCGCCTGATGAAAAAGAAATGAGCGGCGCGGCTCCTGAAAGAGAGAAACCAGTTGGCCCTGAAGAGAGGCAGGCCGGGAAAAAGGAATCCTCAGAGTTAGAAGAGACTGGGGCAACCGGCAAACATTGGTGGTGAGGGTGAAGGCGAGGGGAGGGGTGGGTGGGGCAGAGAAGAAGCAAGCTTAGATGGCGGCCGGCCATCATGAGGATGACGTGCCCGGGGGTGACAACGGGACTTTTTTGGGGGAGGAAGGGGCCTTACCCGCCGCTACGACGCTCAGTAGGACCCACAGAACCGTGAACCGCATCCTGCAGCCTGCGCTTCCGTCCTCTACAGCTCTCGCGCGATCACGCAAGGATTCGATACTCACGGCCCCGCCCCTTCCTGCTCTGGTCTCCAGCAGCTCAGCGGGGATGAAGGGAGAGGTTATGGGAAAGGCGGGGGCGGTGGGTAGTTCCACCACTTTGGCAGCTGTTCCCATTCGGGGCGCCTTACGGTCCGTGGTGGAGGGCGCATCCACACCTTCCTGATTTCTTTGCTCGATACTACCCGCAACAGACCGCCAATCCCGGTTTCCTGCTTTCCCACCGTACTTCCGAGACCACACGGGCTGAGTAGGAGTCCCCTGGCCTGTGGACTGTCCCACGTGAGTGACGACGCAGGGGTCCGGTGCCTCTTTGCCCCATCCTCTGCTAGCCTTTTGAACTCCTTTTCTCGTGGATCTTTTCCCCATGCCATACAGACATGCTGAGCGCCGCTTTCTCCTATGGAAACAGTATCCATGCAGTCGCCGTTGTAGCGGGAGCCTTCACATCGCGGCTCCCCTCTCTCCCAACTCCAGGAAACTGTGCCAAAGGTCTTCCCCAAAGAGCACATGCTTTTTCTGATCTTAAAAGCTTTTCACGTTCACTGTAGAAAAATTAGCGAACGTGTAGAAGTAGAAAAAAATCTTTGCCCCACTCTTCTGGGATAATCAGTATTAATGTTTTAGTGTGTTTTCTGCCTTGTAAACATTTAACATTTTTGATTAGGAAATATATTCCAGTGATTCAAAAATTAAAACGGGATTTTAGAAAGTATTTATTAGAAAGTTGTTGCTCCTTACCCCTCCACAGGGTACCTCTTACATTAGTTTATTGTGTTTCCATCTAGTGCGTGTGTTTTTAAAAAAACAACAACCAAAAAACAAAAAAAAATTGTGCTTATTTTCCCTTGTTCTTAAATGTATTTTCTTGGTCTTTTTTTCCTAGGCATATTCTTTTTCTCCCAAATTAGAACCATTTGGTAAATAGTCTTGCATCTCACTGTTTAAAATTACTATTATGTTTATACATTTTTTTGTTGCTTGAAATCATTTTATCAAAGCACCAGGATAGGTGCTTTGTAGACAGTGATTTTAAAAAATGATAGGCCCTGTCTTGGCTGATTAGAGCATCTCCAGATAGACCAAGGTTGTGGGTTCTATCCCTGGTCAGGATACATAGAAGAGTCAACCAATGACGGCATCAATAAGTGGAACAACAACAAAAAATCAATGTTTCTTTCTCTAAAATCAATAAATTAAAAAAATTTTTTTTAAGTCCTGGCAGGTTGGAGATTTTTTCAAATAAGTTTTCAATTTCTTGCTCTTATTCTTTTCCTGCGTGCCAAAGGGTTGCAGATTTGATTCTGGTCCAGGCATATGCCTGGGCTGCAGTTTCCATCCCTGGTCGGAGGGTCGGAGAATGTGCAAGGACGCTACCGATCAATGTTTCTCTCTTTCCTTCTCTCCATTCCACCCCCCTGCGACCCCCGCCCCCGCTTCCTCCCTCTCTCCAAAATCAATAAATGTGTCCTTGGGCAAGGATAACAATTTTTTTTAATAAAAAAAATGATAGGCCATAACTTAATGGAACATGTAATCTAGTGGGACTCACAAATATTAAACAACTATTGACACAAATGTGTGTGTGTTCAAAGAAAAAAGTACAAAAGTTTGAACTCTGTTGAGAAAGGACCTTTGAACTGGGGACCGAAGAGTGTAGGTATTTCCCGGGTGAGATTGAAGGAGAGAGGAGGAGGATGAGCTTTCCTGGCTGAGTGTACAGGATGTGCAAAGGCCTGGAGGCAGATGGGAACGTGATATCTTTGTGTAAGTCTAAAGATGGGGGAAGGACTGTCAGACAATAGAGAACAAGGAGAATGGTAGAGGAGGGCCCAGATTAAAAAGTAAGTGATCTGGGAGTTGTCCAGAGCATATATCTTTATGGAACACAAAAGTGTATCAGAAAATATGCCAGTTAACTCACACTGAAATGTAATCCTACCAAAAAGGACTACAGCTGCCAGGGGCAGTAACACTCCTCTGCAGTCTTTTGGGTACAATATTTGCATTACATTGCATGCAGTTCTAGTTAGTTGAAATTCTTTCTTTTTTTAAGTATGTTTTATTGATTATGCAATTACACTAGTCCTCTTTATCCCCCTCTGCCCTGCACTCCCCTCCCCACAAGCATTCACACCCCCTTTAGTTCATGTGCATGGGTTATATATATGAGTTATTTGGCTTCTTCATTTCTTATACTATTCTTAACCTCCTCCTGTCTATTTTGTACCTACCAATTTTGCTTCTTATTCCCGGTACATTTCCCCCCTCCCTACTGATAACCTTCCATGTGATCGCCATTTCTGTGATCCTGTTCCTGTTCTAGTTGTTTGTTTAGTTTGTTTTTGCTTTTGTTTTTTGGGTTCAGTTGTTGATAGTTGTGAGTTTGTTGTCTTTTTACTATTCTTAGTTTTGATCTTCTTTTTCTTAGATAAGTCCCTTTAACATTTCATATAATAAGGGCTTGGTGATGATGAACTCTAGCTTTACCTTATCTGGGAAGCAATTTGCCCTTCCATTCTAAATGATAGCTTTGCTGGATAGATTAATCTTGCATGTAGGTCCTTGCCTTTCATGACCTTGAATACTTCTTTCCAGCCCCTTCTTGCCTATGAATTTTCTTTTGAGAAATCAGCTGATAGTCTTAGCGGAACTCCTTTGTAGGTAACTGTCTTCTTTTATCTTGCTGCTTTTAAGATTCTCTCCTTATCTTTAGTATCTTGGGTAATTTCATTATGATGTGCCTTGGTATGTGCTTCCTTGGGTCCAACTTCTTTGGGACTCTATGAGTTTCCTGGACTTCCTGGAAGTCTATTTCCTTTGCCAGATTGGGAAAGTTCTCCTTCATTATTTTTTCAAATAAGTTTTCAATTTCTTGCTCTTATTCTTTTCCTTCTGGCACCCCTATGGTTTGGATGTTGGACCGTTTAATAAAGTTGTTCCAGAGGTTCCTAAGCCTCTCCTCATTTTTTAAAATTCTTGTTTCTTCATTCTGCTCTGGATGAATGTTATTCTCTTCCTTCTGCTCCAAATCACTGATTTGAGTCTCGGTTTCCTTCCCTTCACTGTTGGTGCCCTGTATATTTTTCTTTATTTCACTTTCCATAACCTTCACTTCTTCCTTTATTTTGTGCTCATAATCATTTCTGTGAGCGTCCTGATTACCAGTGTTTTGAACTGTGCATCTGATAGGTTGGCTGTCTCTTCGTTGTTAGTTCTTTTTCTGGAGCTTTGATCTGTTCTTTCGTTGGGCCATATTTCTTTGTCTCAGCGCGCCTGTTATGTTGTAAGGGGTGGAGCCTTAGGTATTCACAAGGGCAGGGCAACCCATGAGGCTGTGTTGTGGCGCAGTCTGGATAAATGTTTCTTCTTTAACTCCTTGCTTGTCAGACTTCCATACACTTCGATTTTCTGGCAGTTCTGGTTGTTTTTTGTTTTTAAATTTGTTTTTGTCTTTCTTTTGGTTGTGGGAGGTAGCAAAGTGTATCTAACTATGCCTCCACCTTGGCCGGAATTCCCTAGTTAGTTGAAATTCTGAAGAGACAATTCATGGCAAAAGTACAGCTTTCAGGAACAAGTACCCTATTTTGTTTTTTAAAAACTTTTTAATATGCTTCTCAATGTTTCTGTTGTAGGAAAATCTCTTTTGCACACATCCTCATTGCTGAAGATAGAATAAGGATCAGAGAGAAGGGCAAAATCTTTACCAAATGATTTGAGAACTGTGATTGCTTTGGCAACAGGAAGAGAATTGATTAACGAATCTGTATCTAAAAGAAAATTCTCTCCTAGTCCCCTAAGTATTTGACTAACATTAAAGGATAGTGGTTTAGTAGGTGTATGTGTAGGGAAAGGAAAGGCGAATTATTAAGCCTGATCTTGTGTCCACGTTACAAAGCAGGAAAGTAAAGAAGGGTCCAAATTCTGCAGCTTGTGAGCCACACCCAGGGTTTTATATGTTTTATCTTAATAGTAATGAGAAGTCATTAAAGAAGTTTAAGTAGAGAAAAGATACAATCTAAATTGGAAATTTTTGAAGATTAATCTGGTTGTAAAGAATCTACTCTTGGGGTGGGGAGAGAAGAGTGGATTTAGTAAATTGGTTAGGAGACTGTAGGGTTAGCATAGGGACAGTGAGAATGGAGGGAAGTGGTAGGACTTAAGATAAATTTGGGAGGTAATACCAGTGGGCCTTGGAGATGCATTGTATAGAGGGTTGGTGGTGACGATGGTGTGGAACAGCGATTTTCAACCTTTTTCATCTCATGGCACGCAAAAACTAATCGCTAAAATTCTGTGGAAAAATTTATTTTTCATTCCACAGAAAGCAGATTAAAGGTTGGGAACTGGGTGGCCCTCGGCTCCGGCAGAGGACAGATGGATTGAAGCAAACTGGAGTGACGAGAGGACAGATTGGGTAGTGTGGCCTCAATTTTCTTGATATTTTTAGAGGCAGGGGAGTCTGTAAGAGTGAGGAGGTGGGAATTAAATTGAGGGCTTGTGAGAAGAGTTGTTTAGACGATTAGGAGAGGGAGGTGACAAAGGACGAGTACAATAACTGGGTGGTATTGAAGGCCTGGCTGTTAGGCACCCTGAATCTGTGGTGGCACCTACTTCACTTGTGGGGTTTTTCTCCAGGCTGGGATAGGAGTAGAGGAAGCACATTTTAGCACTAACTTCTAACTCATACCAGTTTTGCCTTAAAGGAGTAGTAGGAACTGCCTTGAATAAATCCTAAAATTTCTTTGCACCCCTTCGTGGTAAAGACACTCAGCAAACTAGGAGAAGAAGGGAACTTCCTCAATCTGAAAGAGGGCATGTACAAAACCTCACAACTAACATTATACTTAAAGATGAAAGACTGGATCCTTCTCCCTAAGATAAGGAACAATGATGTCTGCTCTTACCACTTCTATTCAACTTTGTACTGGAAGTACTCAGGACACTTAGGCAAGAAAATGAAATAAAGCCACCCGGATTGAA